TGAACGACAATTGGCATGTTGAGTGGATAAGTCTTGTCCATAGCAAATCGCTTCAGGATTTTTTCAATGTAAGCTGATCGGTGGACCAAAATTCCACTAGCACAATGCTCGATCTACAAGCTGAGACAAAATTTTGTTTTTCCAAGGTGTTTCATTTCAAATTCGCTTTTCAGATATTCAACAATTTTATTGAACACACAAAGGCAAATGACATTGTTGATATACCCTTCTTTGATCAAATACTTACTGAGACGATTATACCACATTCGTCTGGATTGTTTCAGCCCATACAATGATTGCCTTAATTTCATTGAAAGGATACCTCGTGGTTTATTAGGTGTTTCAGGCAACTTAAGTCCTTCTGGGACTTTCATATATATATATATATATATATATATATATATATATATATATATATGTATGTATGTATATATCAGTATCTAATTCTTCATATAGATACGCGATGATAACATTCATAAGTCGCATGTCAAGTTTTTCTGAAACTACCGCGAATGCGAATATGTCGTCGATGATTATTTCATTCCGATCCCACAATTCATTAGTTCAAGCATAATTTATGGAGATTTCTTTGCTTTTATGTACCTCTGTTTCTTCAAGTACATGTGTCTCATCAATGACATTTTTTTCTTTCTAAAAGTACAGAATCATGAATTATGGATGTGTCATTCATTTTTTCTTCTTGAATGATTTCATTTGGATTCAGTTGTGCCCTCGACTTTCTCTTTCGAGGGGCTAAATCTTTTGAACGTAAAGGTCTACCACGTTTCTGGCGTGTACCAGATGAATCATTCGCTACCATTTTATTTTGTTCAACAGGGGTATCAATTCTTGCAGGTGCATTTGCAAATGGTATATATGATTTTGTCACTTTCATAGCATCATTAAATGCATCTGGCATTTGATTGGCAATACTTTGAAGATAAACGATCATTTTCACTTCATTTTCACATTGAGTGCTACGTGGATCAAAATGAGATAAGGTCGGAATAACCCCTGTCAGCTATTTCCGTTCTTCTGGAACAGTCTTTTCTCCCCTTAATGACGGGAAGATTGTCTCATCAAAGTGACAATCAGCAAAACGAGCTGTAAACATATCACTTGTCAAGGGTTCCAAATATCTAATAATAGATGGTAAATCAAAACCTACATAAATTCCCAGTATGCGCTGATGTACCATTTTAGTGTGTTGTGGTGGTGTAATAAGTACATAAACATTACAACCAAAAACTCGTAAATGTGAAATGTTTGGTTGATGCCCAAACACGAGTTATACCAATGAGTATTGGTGATTGGCCATAGGTCTTAATCGAACCAATGATGCAGCATGTAAGATGGCATGTCCCCATGCAGAAAGATGCAATTTTGTTTTCATAAGCAGAGTGCGAGCTATTAACTAAAACTGTTTGATCAATGTTTCTGCTAAACCATTTTGAGTATGGACATGAGGAACAGGGTGTTCAACATCAATGCCCAATATCATGCAGTAATCATTAAAAGTTTGAGATGTAAATTCACCAGCATTATCAAGTCGAATTGACTTAATAGGATAATCTGGGAACTGTGCTTGCAACTTAATTATCTAAGCAAAAAGTCTCGCAAAAGCTACATTCTAAGTAGACAAGAGACAAAAATGTAACCATTGGGTAGATGCATCAACCAAAACCATACCAACTTCCCTTGAGAACAAACCTTGCAAAGGTTATAATTTGAGATAGCAATGTATCTGCTCAATAATGGATGTCTATTAAAGTTGGTAATGATTCTACGCATCATGGTAGATCCTGGGTGACCCAGACGGTCATGCCAAAACATGTAAACTTTTGAATCAATGAACTTCTAAGTCATGACAGTATGTGATTCAATTATCTTTATGTATGTATAATACAATTCACTCGTTAAACCACGCAACGTCTCCAATATATGCTTCTGGGTATCATTGGAGGTAATGCATATATACTCCATATTTTTTGCACTTTTTGTTTCAATGTGGTATCCATTTAAACGTATGTCTTTAAAACTCAACAAATTTCAAGTAAATCGAGTAGCGTACAACGCATTCTATATGGACAATATTGTTCCATTTGGTAATATAATCTGAGCTTTCCCTGAGCCTTCAATCACATCTGATTGCCCTGATATTGTTGTTACCCTTACTTTTGTAAGCATCAATTTTAAGAACTACTTTTGATCTCGAAGTATTGCATGTGTGGTTGCACTGTCTGCAAGACAAATATCTCCACTATTTCTCATGTTTTGAGAATGACCATAGTTTTAATCCATGCTCTCTGAATAAGGGAATCACAGTTAAAAACAAGTTATAATAGGAAATTTAAATGGCACTTTTATTGAATCTGAAATGTTAGTTTTTAAACTACAAGTTCAGCATAGTAAAAATACATCAAATATCAATGATTCAATCGGACCAGTATATTTCATTTCCCCTTTCCACCATGAAGTTTGAGACCCTTACGTAGGTTGTGTTCAACTGCCCTGATAAGTCATACATTGAATCAGGTATATCCATTGGTTTAGCTTAGTCGAGAAAATTGGTCTCGACACCCTTCTCCTTGAGGGAGGCTTGATACAGATCCACCATATGTTTTGGGGTACGACAAGTACGCGCCCAATGCCTATTGCCACCACATCTATGGCAGGCTCCTTCAGAGTTTCTGGGAGCATTGTTCATATGAGTTATGCCTTTGTGGCGATTTATATTTTTGAAGCTTGGTCCTGAATTATGACTTGAAACCTGGTTGTAAAACTGGACACCATGATTCTTGTTTTTCCTATTCCACCGTCCTCGCCTGTGGCCACATCCTCATTTATGATTATTGCCACCAGAGAATGTGGCGTTCACTTCGAGGGAAACATCATTCACTTCTGGGAATGGTGCAGATCCAGTAGGTCGGGAATGATGATTTTTCAACAGGAGCTCATTGTTTTGTTCAGCAACCAAGAGCACAAAGATCTACTAGTTATATTCAATGAAACCTTACACTTTATACTGCTGCTGTAGGAGCACGTTGGAAGCATGAAAGGTGCTGAAAGTTTTTTCCAGCATATCTTCTTCAATGATGGTTTCTCCACAAAATTTCATTTGGGAACTAATTCTAAACATTGCAAAATTGTACTCAACCATTGACTTGAAATCCTGGATCCTTAGGTAAGTCCACTCATAATTAGCTCTTAAAAGAATCATCGTTTTCTGATGATTGTATCTGTTTCTTAATGCCTTCTAGAGAGCTAATGGATGTTCAACCGTTAGGTACTCGTCTTTTAGTCTTTCATCAAAGTGGCGACGGATAAAGATCATTACCTTTGCCCGATATTGAGAAGATGCACTATTCTCCTCCTTGATTATTTATGCAAGATTCTCTGCCTCTAGATGGATCTTGACATTCACTACCCAGGTAAGGTAGTTTTTCCCAGTAATGTACAGGGCAACAAAATCAAGCTTTGCCACATTTGTCATTTTTTTTTTCTGAAAGAAAACTGAGATGTGTAAGAACTTACAATAATATGTAATCTAGGTATGTAGTGTTAGAACTTCTGGTTCTTACAAATTCTTCATTTTGATCTTGAGGCCAAAATGATAAGCACTCGAAACTTCTAGCTCGAGATTTACATGATGAATGAGGAGGGCGATTGTACCACACCACTCTCATAACACAGAATGAACGATTATTCCACACCATTCAAGTAGCAGGAAAATTTAAATATGCAAAGCAGGATGGACGATTATACCGCACCACCTAAAATTGCAGTGAAATTAAACATCAGGCAAATTTAAATATGCAGGGTACAATGGGCGATAATACCGCTCCACCTAAAATTTACAGTAAAATTAGATTTGCAGTCTAAGATTGACGATGATACCACATCATCATGGATTGTAGTAAGATTAAATTTGCAGTTCAAGATGGGCGATTGTACTGCACCATCTTGGATTGCAATAAAATTAACATAAATAAATACTGGGTTAGTAATCAAGATCTACACCAAACAAGAAATCAAAGATATATGTAACTGTTAGGTTGAGAACTAAAAGCAAGTATAGTGTAAACAGTTCTTCGCGATGGTATATCCAGTAGTTGAGGTAATGGAAGAAGATGAATAGTAAAATCCTTAAAGGAAATCTTTTTTTTTTTCCTTCAAGGAAGAGAAATGAGGAATGGTTATATTTAGAGAATCATGTTGATAACCTATTATAAATACGTAAAAGTTAGAGAGATAATCTTTACTAATGACAGGAGCGAAGCAGATGTAAAATATCACACTATAACTATAACACAAGGGAATGACTAATAAAAGTGGGAGGAATAGATACTGATATTATTTATCTTACCTTTCTTTCTCTGTGTTTTGATTGCAGTCAAGTGCTCTATTTATAGAGTAACTCGCATTATTACATTTTGAAATTTACATTACATAACTTTGAAAATACAATCCTTTTGTTTCCGAAGTCACATCGCATTTGTGGGCATTGAAAAATCTATGTGTGGGCATTCATAACAATACCAATGTTTTCAACAATTTGATCTTTTGGTTATCATTTTTAGAAGTCTAGTAGCAAATTGAATGTACTCGTTTGCCAAAATGAGAAACAATTTTGGATTGCAATCTTTTGACCCGGTAAATGCTAAACCAATCCAAAAAATGAAAAACGTGTACAAATGCAAAATAAGCATTTAATCTTTTAAGTACTCATTTTTAGCGGTTTAATAGCATATTGAATGTGTCCATTTGTAAAACATGAAAAACTATTTCGGGTCACAATCTTTTGACCCCGTAAATGCAAACACTAAAAATAAAAAGAAACGTGTGCAAATAACACCAATACGCTTTTAATCATTTTGGTACTTATTTTTAAGGGTCTGATAGCAAATTCGATGTGTTCATTTGTCAAAATGAGAAACTATTTAAGATTGTAAACGCAAAAGCAATCCAAAATGAAAAATGTGTACAAAATGGCACCAATAAGCGTTTAATCTTTTGAGTAGTTATTTTTAGGAGTCTATTAACATATTGAATGTGTTCACTTACCAAAATGAAAAATTATTTTAGATCATGATCTTTCTGACCCTAAATGCAAAAACAATCCAAAAACAAAATTATGTACAAATGACACCAACTAAGCATTTGCTCTTTTGAGCACTTATTTTTAGGGTTCTAATAGAAATTGGATGTGTACATTTGCCAAAAAGAAACTATTTTGGCAAAAACGTCATCAATAATAGCGCACGCATCCGTGATAAAATGTGAAAAGGATTTCGGATTTTCTGTTATTAAAACCTGGTTATGGAAGACAAAGACAGAAAATGTGAGAGAAGCATAGAGTAAGAACTAAAAGACAGTTAAGTTAGACAGATGCTATTGACACTCCAAAAATATCTCATTTTGCACTCCTCACAAGCGCACTTTTCTTTCTAAATATAAAAAGTTCAGAGTGCGAAATGAGAATTTTATAGTGCTAATAACAATTTCCGTCCGTTATTTGAAAAAGAAAAAAACCAAAAATTAAACCTGCATGGGGCAGAGCTCGAAATGGAACTTGGCAACTGGTATTTGGAGGCTTTGCACCAAGCTGCTGAGCGCCGTGTACTCATATTTCTCAATCGAACTATGAGATCTCCCTGTTACGACTTCCGAATCAACTATTTGAAGGTAATGCTCTATCTGCACATACAATTTACCAAAAACTGTAATTATAACGAGCTTAAGCATTAGCTATTCTTTACAAGCCAAATAAACTTCATTGAAACAGTTTTAGTATCCACTCAGAAGAAGGTGTTTATGGACCGTCAAGCATCTTTAGGGAGGTAAGAATATATTCATACAACTACTAAAATGCGTAAAACTCAATCACATGCAGCTATATATTGCCGATGCACTCGCACAAACATTGGCATGTTAATGGACAAGCACAGAACAATAGAGAAACAAACAGAAGAAAAAGATAGGAAGAATCATGCATAGAGACAAACTTACTGTAACATTAGCACCTAAATCACGGTGATTTATGAAAGACCGACCATTCAACCTATCATGGCTCGCACCAAGATAAGGTACCAATTGCTTGACATCACTCATCACCTTAGGAGCAATCATCCTACTGAATGAAAAATGTGAAATGACGTGAGATATGTTCGGTCGAGAAGGATCGAAGGAATGAGCTCCCGAATGAGCAGAAATGACAAGGTTTCCTGGAACCTGCACAGCACAGGACAAATCATACCCATATTCCAACTGAATAATAGCTAAGAGATTTATTGTAAGGTCAATTGAAAGGTCAAAGAAGGCCAGAATTCTGACTGATAAATTCATTTTACTGGTACAATATTCTCTTTTGTTTATTCATGTTAAATTCATTTTACTGCCCTTCGCATTTCTCTTTATTCATACCAATTCCAAGCATGTGAAACACCTGAAGTCATGCTCGGACAGAGAAGAAAAGGAAATGAGTTGTTCAATACTTTTTCATCGCATTTCCAAGCATGTGAAGCACCTCGAGCCATGCGTTGGGAGCAGAGGAATAAAGCAAAGATTTATACGGGTATAACAATTGTCATGCGATTAGGTCTAACATGCCCAATGGTTCTATTAATTTCTATTTCAACTGGAAGATCACCTTCTTTACACGCACATATCCTTCAATTCTACACCCTCCTGTCAATGGTGCTGGTCTTTTTGCATTCTCACCCCTGTTGTCAGATTTACCCTCTAAAGCGAGTTTTTCAGAATCCACAGGGATAGATGCAACCAAACTTTCCATTTTCTGCAACGATGGAAACTTCAAATTAGATTTACAATTTCAAACGGGGTACTGAATATCAAGAAGTATAAACAAGTTCAAAGTCAAAGTTAAACACGGGATACAGTTTAAACTTATGAATGCTTGTACCTCAACCAAGCTATCTGTTTCTCGACAACCATAATAAGACTCATGCTCATTATCCCTGTGGAAGAATGAGGTTGCTTAAGTTAAGCTTCATATGTACAAGACAGCCATGGCCGAGGGAGCAAAATTTGAGAATCAACTGTATAAATCAAAATGGGTCTACATAAAGAAAATAGATTGAAACAGCAAGCCTTTCTATAACCCGGGACATACACTTATCATCTTATAAAGATCATAGAATGAATAAACTATGCATGCAGCTCCACAACTGAAGGACCAGAAAAACCTAGATATGACTTAATTGGCCGCCCTAAGATTGCATTTAGATAGATGACTTGAAATTGAGGATTTGGATTTGCATTTTTATTATAAATTGTATGAGATACTAGGCATATTAAAATTCTTTGTTAACTGAAAGTACATGTCATTGACTATTTAAGATCAGTTAAATATTCAAAACAAAATGTTATTTCAAATTAACTCCCTAATTTACCTGACAAAATTTTTCTTTCAGCATATCAAAACTCTACTTTATCCCTTCTTTTGACATTACACACTCAATATATCAAAATGTCAAATTCAAATCTCGCATATAAATCCACATGTTGAAATGGAGCCTAAGAGCACATACAAATCTGCTATCCGAAGAGATACAGATATACATGTTAGATGAAGATAGAACAGACAAAATAAAAAGGACAAATTAAATGCAACCTAAAACGTAATGTTAAGACTCCAGGAGCTGAAATCATTTCGTTAAAAAGGAATGAGTAGAAATCAGTTCCAAAAGAAAATAAAGTTTGCAAAATTTTGTAGTATTTACCTCACATCACTTCCTTTACGAAAAATACGAATTGATGGGTATCCTTGAATTTCATTCCTGAATATTATGAGGAGGCGTAGTTAATAATAGCAAAAACAGGAAGATAGTGGTATGTGAAGCAAACTTGAGAGGTAAGTAAAGAAGAGAACAAAAGTTTGTATCTAGAGAATAGAGATGTAAAGCTACTAAGTCTAACCAGTTAAGATGGCAGTGGCACACAAAACTTACCTTGGTGGATATGAAAATAGTTCAAATGGTGATTCAATTATGGGACACTAAAAGTGACAGGTTAACTATAGCAACATACAAGAATACCACAATACATAAGACAGAGACAGACTAAAACATGAGCTCATCCATGATCCCACCCTGAGGTTAACAGTTCTCTGTTCAAGCAGAGAGTCAAAATACACTGATTTGCCATCAAAATGCTACATTGGTAAGAATACTGCACTTGAAACAAAATCTAGAGCTCTAGTTGGCATTTCAGAACACTAAATCCTAGTACTGTTATTTTGAAAACCACACCGGTTAGGCCATGGTAGGCAGCTTATAACACTTGTTCAAAATCTTTTCCAACAGTAAATAGGTTGCTCTTCCACTCTTAGTCTTGACCACATTTTGATGGCAAGGATGACTTCACGGATTGGCAACGGAAGATGAAGGATGCACTGATGGGTAAAATTCCAAAGTAGGAAGACTCAATGTAACCAAAGGACCATTGGTGATAATGCAAGGTGACCTACAACACCATACGTTGTACAAGCTAATTGGGACTACAATAGCTGGGGGAGCAGTTGTTTCCACAAAGCAGAACACAAGGCTGAACTCTGACATCACACGCTAGAGCACATAAGTCAGAAGGTTGCAAGAATTGCACAAGAAAGGCCTGTTGGAAGGCTTGTCACATTGCAAGTTGGACTTTTGTGAATATTGTGTTCTCGGGAAGCAAAGGAAGGTATCATTCGCAAGTAGTAGTGCAGATAACCAAAACAAGGAGCAACTCAACTATATTCACTCAGATGTTTGGGGCCCTGCACCAACTAAGTCTAACGGTGGAGCCAGGTTTTTTGTTACTTTCATGGATTGTTTTTGTAGAAAAGTTTGGGTTTATTTCATGAAGCAGAAATTCGAGGTTTTTGCAAAGTGCAAGGAATGGAAGACATAAATCGAGAATCCAAGGTGAAGGTTCTTAAAGATACTCTAGAGTGCAATGATCAAGACTTGGTTTGACATCAAGGTGGAGATTGTTAGGATTTTTGGCTCATCAATTAGTGTCCTTATTTTGTTTAGAATTGTTTTAGGGAAATAAAAGGTGCACCAATTATTCTCCTAAAAGGACTAGGAAAGAATCTTAGTTTCCTTATTCAATCAGATTAGGAATCTTAGAAGGAAAGTAAATTCCTATTCCATTTAGAATAGGAAACATAATCTGAAAAAAGTGAATGTGAGCCGCACCCTATACTTATAAATAGGGTCCGACAATGCTGGAAAAGTGTTAGAAAAAAAGCCAGAGACAGCCGACAAGGTTAAAGAGCGATTAGTTCTAGGATTTTGCAAAAGTACTGGAACTCTATTATTAATCTAAAAAGCCATGGTTTCTCTACCCAGGAAAATCACAACTGGACGTAGGCAAAAGTTCTACCGAATCAATATAAATATTGTGTGTTTCTAGTTTTCTCTATTTTGCTAAGTTCTAGTCTATTGCCGGATACATCAAAGAGCAAGATCCAGAGGGAGTCAGAATTATAACAGCTTAACCTTTGGCGAGAAGTGTTGGAATGTAAAGGTCTTCGCCTAAGTAGGTCAAAGACATAGAATATGGAGTGCAAGTAAGTGGGAATGGGGGGTCCAAATGAGATGGGGATGAAGATTTCAACCATTAAAAAAAAGCTAGATGGATGAAGTGAAAGAGTGTATCGGTGTGTTGTGCGACCGTCATATGACACTAAAGCTCAAGGGAAAATTTCATAGGATAGCAATAAGGATATCAATGCTTTATGGCATGGAATGTTGGGCGGTCAAGCATCAACATGTGCAAAAAAATGAGTAGCAGATATGAGAATACTTCATTGGATGTGTGGGCACACGAGAAAGGACAAGATTAAGAATGAGAATATCCGAGGTAAAGTAGGAGTGGCCGCAATTGAAGATAAGATGAGAGAAAATCGGTTAAGGTGGTTTGGATATGTGAAATGAAGACCTACATATCCTCCGGTTAGAAAATGCGATTATGAGACAAAGGCTCAGGGCAAAAGGGATAGAGGAAGATCTAGGAAGAGTTAGATAGCGACTTTAAGAAAATATATGGAGTACTTTGAGCTAACGGAAGACTTCGCAGAAAACCGAGCGCATTGGCATTTTAGGATTTATATGGCCGATGCTTTGTTGTTGTTGTATATTTATTAATGGTGAACAAAATCTGCTATTTACGGATCTACAATTGCAGCACATTAAGTGGAGTTTTGCCTTTTTCTTGTTCGCTGTAAGTCGGCAATTAAAATATAGCAAACATGTATAAATCTCTTTTTCATTGAGGAAAATTGCGAATATAATTTTAGATTGCTTTTATACAACTAATTTGAACTGAAAATGCAGATCAAACAAATTGTACTCAATAGAAAATCAAGTGGAAAGTAGGACTAAGCAATTTAAAACATACCTCCTACACAAGCCACCCTCTTCAATACAATCCACCTTCGCCATAAGTATACGGCCATCTATTTCTGGATCATACCTGTTAACCATGGGAGCATGAGAAAAGGTGAGATAAGAATTGTAAACTTCAGATTCTGGACTGCACCATTAGAAAGGGAAAATGTTATTAGCACTCTCCTCCTGCACTCTTCCCAAATTTAAAAGATCAGGAATGAGTACAGGATGACTCTTTAGAAATGCCAATAATAGCTCCCTTAGAAAAATCATATTATATGGAAGAAAACAACAGACTTTCAGAGTGAAGCACCTTTCTCTTATTATTTTGGCGGTCTTCTCCCATGAAGGTTTCTGAAAAGGAAAGTGATAACATGAAGCAAGAAGTAATAAAAGAGAAAGATAAAAATGCAGCAAGAAAGATATGCTTCTGGATGGATTCAACTAAATAGTTCAATTACATCAAGCAAACAAAAAATTAATGTACACAAAGTAACTTCTGAATATACAACAGTTCCATCAAAAATGAAGAAAAAACAACATTAATTGACCCAAGGATCTTGTGACTTATTATAAGATAATGCATACGTGCAAGCACATACATGATTAAGGTGTGAAATGAGGGGAAACAGTCGAAGTAGTTAATGATAGTAACACAAGACTTCAAAACCCAAGAGCAATGTATGTAAGAAGTCAGATGCAAAAAATACACATATTACAACTTTTTAGATTCCTTTCATTCAGCAAAACTTGAAGGTTTAAATAAGTTGAAGAAATTCCCAGCTAGTACTATTCTCAGTGAAAACTGCTTTACAAGTAGTTTTCCCATGATTGAATGATCGCATTATTGGCATGCATGAGCTAACCTTTAATTTCTAGCCAAAATGTGAGATTCTAAATTATTCTCAATCATGCCAAAACCATGTAATATGCATTATGCATACGCAAGTATAAAACAAGATTTGTAGAAATTGACTGATTAAGAAAGCTAAAACTTTCATCAAAAGAGATTTGAGAATGTGCGAAGCTATTTTATTTACCAGGCGATTGCTCCAGTAGCACCATGGAGCATAAAAATTAACCACCAAAATTGGGTGGCTGCAGAAGAATGGTTTAATAAAAAAATTAGGAAAGGTATTAATTTGAAACATAAATATTGAAGTGTCCAACATCAGCGACATAAAATATCAAAGGTATGGAACTAAAAGTTGGCCCACTTACTGGTGAGCAAACTTTTCAAAATTCTGTGCAGTTAGAGAAATAGAGCCATCACCAGAATACTCATCTCCATCTAAAACCGGTCCTGAGTGGAACTCAGCGCCAGTTGGTCTTAAATCTGTCCCTATGGGGAACTTGCGAATTGTTTTCGTAACATTCAATCTGTTCTGAGAATAAGAGGGAATGGATTCAGGAGTCACGACAGATGGAAACCACATAAAGAATTAAAAAATAAAAAAATACTAACAAAGGATCATTAGCATTAGGGAGGAAAATCAGGAGCAGAGTAGATAATATTGAACAAAAACAAAATTAAATGAGAGAGAAACTTACTGTTCCCAACACGTCACTCACATCAAGAGATGCAAATTCACACGGGAGTGCAGGAAAACTACATGAAAAAGGAGATAAAATTATGGAGGCAGCCTAGGAAATGAGAGAGGCAGGGGGGGAGAAGAAGGTTATGTAAATTGATAGTGAAGGCTAAGAGTTTTCTTTGAGCAAAGTTTGCATCAGAAAGGTGATATCAACAAATTTTCCAGAAGTAAGAGGGATCACCCTGATAACTTAATGCTCACACAATATAACTGCCTCTTTCGGGCTGATTAAAGCATTACAAATTCCCATGTAGTGCACCTTAGAATCAATTGGACCTAATTTAATTAAAACCACTACTGGAGTTAAAAAAAAAATCCATATAGCAGTTAATTTAAAAACACAATATGGCAGTTAATTAAAAGCACTACTGGATATAAACACAATATTGCAGTTAATTTAAAAAAAAAAAAAAAATCCGTCTTTGAATAAATTTCCAATTACACGAAGGCAGTTTTCAGTGACATTCTAAAATCAATAAAGCTAGAGCTGGATTAGCAATAAATTTGAACTCCATGCATGTACATAATAACTTCATAAACATCAAAAACACCAATGCAAGCTATGAAAGTTTACCTGATATTAAATTCAATAAGTAAGAAATCACCATCGGAACTCTTGTTGACAATAACAGATGTAGAGGTGCTGACGGTTACCTAAAAAGGCAAAAAGGAAACTGGAAAAAAAGAAGGTAAATATAAATATAATAAAGTATATTAACCACAAGCATATCGCAACAAAAAGTAACTTTGATAAAAAAACAAGGATGGAAAAGAAAATAAAACTACTAGAAATTCTCATGAACATAATAAAAATAGAACAAGGTTAGACATACATAAAGGACCAAAACAAGCATCAATTGAGAGAGAGAGAGAGAGAAAAAAAAAAAAAAAAAAGAATCATCACTCAATGTCCATTTGGTCGAATTTGAATATTTGGAGCACATAAGTAACCAACTATAGAACTACGAGCTGCTTACCATTCCAAATAAAAACATCATGGCGAGAGCTGCCATAATAGATAGTCTTGCACCCGATAATGATGCTTCTGTCAAATCTCTAAGGATTTTCTTGTACATAGGGAAAGCATTGTAGCATAAATACATATCAGGACAACCGTGCAGGTGAATTTATTGCCCACTAAATTATACAAAATGTTTATTTGTTCATACATGGAAAAATTTCACAAACACCTCCTGGACTATAAAGGTATGTGCAAATACCAGCAAGATTGTATGACCTCCATTAATTTTTGCAAAAATTTTAGTCAAAATGTATCATTTGCAACACATGTGAGTCAATAGAATAAAGCTCGTGTGACTTATCTTCTACTTCCCCAAAGACATGTTGTAGTCAGCGAAATTCGTACCCTAAAATAGTATGAACAAGTGCTCATGTGCTCATACTAGATGAGAATTAAAGGAATTTCCAACGGTGAATTACAGATGTGATACATCACACTAAAAGTGGAGTGTGGGTAGTAAATTGGCAAGATTTTTTTGTTTGGGTGGTATTTTACGCACACCCCTAATAGTCCAGGTGGTGTTCGTTAAATTTTGCTTCCTACTTCTATTCGCAGGGAAAGTTTGAGAAGTTATGAAATCTTACATTTCTGCATATAATTTAGCTCCTTAGATGTGTACCATAAATATCATACAGCAAGCAGCTAAAACCCTAGAATCATTTGCTATGAAAGCTTCCACTAAGCCTCCAAACAATCTAGTAATGCTTTATTTAGTGGTGATGAACTGAATCTTTCAATGGTGTGGAAGCAACCAAACTATTCAAATCACCAATCTTTTCCATTTGTTTGGACGAGGAAATTTAAAATTACAAAGGAATTTTAAAATAACGAAATTTTATCTTCTAAAATTTGTGAATTTTCTTGTTTGGCTAACTTAAAAGAACAATGAAAATTCAATACGAAATTTATTATTTTTAAATTCTCATTCATAGAAATTCAAAAATGACACATATTTACATATAATTTAAACTTGGAAATTATAGTTTCCAAATTTCAATTTTTTTCTACATGGAAATTCCAAATTTTTATATTTATGAATCCAAATAAGAGAATTGTTATCTGTCAATTGATAACTCTGACCTTTGTCAAAATTTTAAGTTTATTTTCATCGTCCAAACATAATGTTAATGTTAGTTTAAATTCTTAATCCTATTTATAATCACTCCAATTTCACTGATAAACTCAAACATTCATTCACTTATCCATCACAATTCACAATCCACATGCATCAGAAAGCAATTACGCAAAATCGAAACTGAATTTTCCACGATCAGATTCAAATTACACACAAACACAGAGAGCTGATGAACAGTGAAATGATGCGAGAGATCTGACCTATAAAAATCGACGGACTTGATGTTGCCGGTGGAAATCATGGCTGAGATGAACGTATAGATTTCAGAGCAACGGACGGCTCTAATCCCAATTTTCCGAGCAAAATTACAGAGAGAATGAAATGGGCAAGAGACAGCTGCTGAACATTTTAAGAGCAGACGTTTTATATTTTTATTATAATGTTGTGCGATCAAAATCCCCGAAAAACAGACAAAGACGACGAGTCAACGACGGAAGAAACGAGGAACTTTAGGACAGCTTTTTCGGACATTCACTTGCCCCCCGGGGCGGGAACTTCTGCCCTTAAAATATTTTAGGCTTTTGGGCACTTCCGCCCCCAAATTTTTTTAAGCTTTTGGGCAATAGATAATTCAATCTCCCAAGTAAAAGTTTTAGTAAACAATGATTGTTTAAGTGTATTTCTAATCCGTATAATAATTATTTGGACAATTGATATTAAAAGTTTTAATAAAACAATATTTTATTTTTTTCTTTATTTTTTTGTTTTTCTTTTTTTCTTTATTTTTTCTTTACAAGTTCAGAAGAAAATCGACAACTACCTAAAATCTGAATGAGATCAATCATAGTGCTCAAGCCGAATAACATGAACATGATGATAAATGTAACTTATTTAAAATTTATTTTCAACTGGACTCGGCTTGTTGCAGCATCCACAAATTAACAAGTTATGAAGCAAAAGAAGAAAGTGGCATTAGATTCCTGGGAGTTAACTTTTTTCTTTGTCAATTGGATATTTCAAAACAAAAGTCCAAAAAGACAATGTACAAAGAGTACATAAATGAAGGCAAAGAGCCGGCCAAAAAATGAAGAAGATACAAATAAGACATCTCTCGTGCACGCTTTGTACCACTAAAGGTTCTCGTTTGTACCCAAAACAATAAATTACATAAAATGGCCAATGCTAAGGATGCCTATCCAAACATGCCCAAAAGTGGTTTAGGCAGAGAAATCACCCTTCTCCAAGTTGCCACAAATCAATCCTCAGCTGAAAGCAAGCACACACGGGGCAATGGTCCAAATCAAGTAGAATCTAAAGTTTTAATTCCTGAAATGGTCATCGATATACACCTCGGCAAGTGAACCCTACTACTGATTGGGTTGCATTGCATTGTAAAAAAGGGATGTGTCCGGATGTCTGGGTAACTAGACCCTCATCCTCTCTGGTCCATATTTTATCAATGAACGGCCTTCCTTGTCCTCACTAGACTCAACATTGGCATGGTCAAGGAGGGTGACTAAAGCTTTGCTTCAAGTCATGCTTAGCCTTCCTTGTCCATGGTTTGCTCTGTCCTTTGTCCTTTTGACCTCAGCCGTGTGCTGCTTGGCTTGTATCTTGTACTTTTAGGGCGCATTTGTTTGCCCTCACTAAGTGGGACTAGACTGGACTGGACTAACTTTTAGTCCAATACCGTGTTTGTTCCATGCTGGGATTAACATTAATGAGACTAAAGGAGACTCGCATGGTCAAAACCCTTCACTAAGAGGTCTTAGTGAGACCCCCCCCCCCAATAGCCATGGGACTGCTAAGACCTTCACTGCGTGTTTATCTTCTCACATTCTCTCTCCTCATCATCCTTCATCTCCTATCTCTGCTCGCTTCCTCTGCTCGCGTTGCTAACATCATCAACACTCGCCAACCTAGAATTGCATCGTTTGCTTGTTTCGAATCTCTCGGAACCCATAACCCGTCGCATTCTCTCCTTGCTCTTACCGTCGTTTGATTCACTCCGATTTAAATCACAAAACCCAGACCCGAAAGCCAGTAGACAGATCCCGGATTCGCTAAAATTGCAACCCACATTCGAATCGCAAAAGCCAGATTCCATCACAAATCCCAGACTCGAATTGCAAAACCAAATTCATTAGAAGTTCTGCACATCTTTCAATCGTCAAACACAGATTTACGCAGAACAACTTTTCAAGAATAAAAAAGGAGAAAAACAGTGAGAGCTTTCATTCAATCAAGATAGTTTTCTGGAAAAAGGAAAGGGATAAAGAGAGAGAGAGAGAGAGTGGGAAAACTCCAAAAAGGATAAAAGAAGAGGGATAGCTCTAGTTCTCGAGAGAGTCTGGAAAAAGGAAGAGCGTTCTGAAAAAAAATGAAAAGGAAAAGGAAAAAGAAAAAGGAAATAAATAAATATTATTTTTCTTGTTAGTCCGACACTGCATCAAACGCTTCATTAAGCTAACCCAGCTTAGTCTAGTCTAAGCTAATCCAGCTTAATCCTTGAAGCTAATTCAGTCCGAAATAATCCGATGCAATAAACGCAACCTTAGAGCTTTATCTCCTTTTGCAATGAATATCTTTGACCCCAAAAAAAAAAAAAAAAAAAAAAAAAAAGAAGAGACCTTAGACCTTAGTATGTCTGACTACATAGTCATTTTGGAAGGAGGAGCCTGGTAGAGATGGAAACGGGGTTGATTTGAAGTCTGAATACCATGTCCATCAAAAAATTCATAATTGCAAATTACCTATCTATCCATATAACTGATTCTCTATCGATTAACTGTTATATGCATTTTTGTCAATGAAAGAATTATTGTTCAACTTATATGATATAATTTAATAGATACTAATTCTGTTATCAAATACCCACATGCAAATCATAAAAAACAAAACAATACTTTATTGAAATGTCCATGACAAACCAAATATGATTAGCAAATTAAGGCAAATTGACTCGACCAAAAACATAAGGATGTCAAAAGCAAATAAAAAAATCACTACGGGAGAAGGACGAAATTATCAGATGACTTCAACTTTGTGGACATACGTACATACATACATACATACATACATATATATATATATATATTATTTTATTGTTTTATTCGGTGCAAATTTGGAACAGATATGGATTAAAGACCTCTATAACCATATTCAAAACTGTAACTGGATCATATTCACGATTTCTCCCATAATCGTAGAAAAATACTTGAATTTTCATCCGAAATCCACATCATTCGAACGGTTATTCACGACTATTGGGTTTAACGGGTTGAAAAGCCATCTTAGAGCCTGGGCTTACATCTGACTCGATGTTGAAGGAGAATTACTAGATTTTAAGGGATGCAGTTGAAGGTGTGAGGGATGTATGATTCAGTCGAAGTGAGAGAGGATGAGAAAAAAGCCCCAATTTCGAACCAATAAGCTCAATCAGAGATGTAAAACTTTGAACAGTGGCCACAAAGCCATGTATAAGAGACAATACTCCATCTACACCACCCATCAGGAGTAGGTTGCATGTTGCTTCATCGTTCTCATACAGAAATTAGGGTCATCGCAAATGTGGGGAGGAAGAAGAGGTGAAGAGAGGAGAGGAAATGTAATTAAGGGGCTTAACCATATTTGCCATCGACCCAAGAAAGAGCTGGAGGCCGACGACTGCAAGGAGCTTTATTTCATTTTTCTTGGGGAGTTTTTTCTTTTTCGAATCAATAAGCCTAACTCAGAGGTGTAAACTTTGGATAATGGCCACAAAACCATTTATAAGGGACAAAGCTGCATCTACACCATCCCTTAGGAGAGGGTCGCATGTTGCTTCATCGTTCCATACGAGAATTAGGGTCACTGCACATATGGGGAAGAATGAGAGGTAAGTTGCCATCGACCAAAGCAAGAGATGGAGGCCAACGACTGAAAGGGGCTAAGATTGGGGAGTTTTTTCTTTCGCGCTTTAGGGATAAAATGAGCTAAGTTGCAGTAATTGGTATAATAGTCAGGGAGGAAACTTAATATATAGTGGAAACGAAAACAACACCGGCGTGAACATAGTCCAACTTCAAGTGAAGCACAAAACATCCCATGTTGTGTGATTTTACTATCTCATTTTAGTTGGTCCAACTATTAATATCAATAATATATCACATAAGTCAGCGTCCAATCTCATTCCAATTCCAATATCATCCCATTTCAATTTCTTAATGAAATTGTAAAATTGATGTTTGATGAAACAAGGATTGATGTCTTATTAAGGGAAGGAAAATATAGTTTGGTCTTCTCACCGGTTGCAACTAGAAAAAGATGTGATATTTGGCCATATACCACCAGTTGCAGCTAGAAAAAGATGTGATATAGTTTGGCCATATACCACCAGTTGCAACTAGAAAAAGATGTGATATTTGGCCAAATTGGAAAGATAGTTGCGCCGGAGTTGTACGTGGATTTTGGTGCTTCAGGAGCCATTCAACACTTAGCAGGCATGAGAGATTCCAAGTTCATTGTTGCTGTGAACAAAGATGCAGATGCCCCAATCCTTCAGGTGACGGCTTGAACTCTCTCTTGAAGTTGTCAAGGGTAATAGTATCGCCATATATACAAGATGCATTCATTCTTAAAGTCTGCACAATTTAGTCATTTCTCAAAGAGCCAAAAGTCCAAGCCATTTTTGCTTCACTCAGCTTCCGAAAAGAAAAGGAGATAAGTGTTCCTGAAATGTGAAGCAAATTATATGTATCACGTTTAACGAATTTGCAGTAAAACCTCAACCTGCTTTTCATGTAGTTTTCTTAGTTGCAAGCTTTTTGGAATGTTACGACATGGATGCACTTACATAATTTGTTAACAAACTCTTTGATCATCACAGGTCGCTGACTATGGACTCGTATGCGATATATTTGAAGCGATACCGGAATTGCTAAAGAAACTTCCTGTGAAAAAAATAAACCTGAAACCTGATCGTTTGAAGGTCCAAAAAGTGCTGCAAGATTAGCTGAATATCTTGTATATCAGAAATACCAAATTGAATAATTGTAACAATATATAGTCAAAACTGATAGTGGAATTTGAATAATACCAATTCATAATTCTTTTGATGAGGCGTTTCCTTATTTTAGTTTTTGTACCCTTTTTTTTTTAAAGTAATTGTTTCTTAGATTTTTCTAGTATGCACCAATAAATATATACTGTGATCTTCAACTTGTTAAATTATTTGTAATGGAATCCTGATAGCACATTCAGCTCGTCATTGCTCCAATGCCACTTGCCAAAGCATAGTAGAATTTTTGTTATTGCTCTATAGTGTATTTGAAACCTTCATTAAGATAATGCTCAAAATGACTTCATGAATCAAAAGATAGAAATCACCAAATGGAAAGAAACAAAAATGGCAAAAATGCTGATTGGTACATTTATATGCTACCTAACATAACTACAGAATGGATAGTTGAAATTATACCAACATGTTATTGATACATTTATCGAGACTATCACTTAATGCTATCAACAAAAGTTAAATAAGTTACAAAATGGAAGTATGACAATCAAGCGCATCTGGCGTATACCCTCCCACGGTACTGACCAGGGGTCGATTCCCTGGATGCGCACACCATTTTATTTATTTTTTTGAAAACGTTCATCTCATTCTCATTTACCTTTGAGAATTTGACAGAACATGCGATGCGCCGGGAGAACCACACCTGAAAAAGTAACGACCGATATGTGTTTTTTTTCTTCTTTTCCAAATGTAAAAACATTGGCAACTCCATTAAAGAAGAAAGGAATCACAAAACGAAAGAAGATTAGGTGGCCTTGTTAAACCTCCCTCGGAGTAAATCTAGTGAGAAAAACCCGTTGAGCCACCAATACCACGTAAGGTAACAATGGCAAACAGAAAGCGATCTCACTTTTATTTTCACTTTTGCAATGGCACTGAGGTTAAGACCATCTCTGCTAGGAAAATAGACTAATTATGCTGATAAGAGTGAGTGATCGATCAAGTAACGCTTTAGGTGAAAACTTTTTATATAAGGTTTAGCCACTTTGTAGTGATAATGCGAATATATGTACTAATTAATAACTCAAAAAAATTTAGGTGCTTGGCTTGAAAGTGTCTAGTTGACCACACTGGAGAAAATTTGCATATACAACACACATACATGATCTGAAGAAAAAAAGACATCAAACTAACAGTTGTAATTTTTTTTTTTTGTTTGTTACTGAAACTAATAGTTGTGAATAAGTAACAGAAAATTAGCAGGCAACATTAATGAAAGATATAAGATGGATCCCATCCTTCGACCTTGTAAAATTGTAATTACAGTTTAGATATGCGGCCAATATTATTGTGATCATATTATAAACTTAACGGGAAAAGACTATATATATATATAGTCTACAGTTGCTGGACAACTGGTTTTGGTATTGTTCTTGCTGAAATTGATACATGAAGTGTGCTTCCTCAACAGCAATGAGAAAAGCAATCGACCATAGTATGTACAGAATCAAATATCGAGAGCGAGAGAGAGAGAGATGTATGTTTTAACTGAAGTACTAGTATATGGATGATGATAACAATAATTCATCCAAAATAGTTTGCTATATTAGAGAATGGAACTAAGCAACGTCCTCTCGTCTTCAGTTCTGTGCAGTCACTCTCTCCCGATAAAGCCCGATTCAGTTCTCTCATCCATCCTGCCAGAAGTACTTCCTTTCTCCTGTAACAGAAAATTTTCAAAGCACTATCAATCTAATAATTAATTGTTTGCAAAAATAAACAACCAATTTAATAAAAGACGTACAGTGATGATATAATAAATAATAAACCGATGAAAAAATAGTGCGGTAAATTTGTTTTTTTACCGTATTAGATATGTCTGTGTCATCTTTTTGCAGTGTTGATTCCACATTTGACTGGCTGTGATTGCAAACCTAATTGAAATACAAAATGGAAATTAATTAAATCTTAAACAAATCTGAACAAAAATAACAGGTATATTGGGAAGCATAAGTTAAACATTTCACTTGTAAACAACATGATTAATTGAAAAAAAAATAAAAATGGTTCCAACAAAAACAATTAGGAGTCAGGATAGTCACCGTGGGAGTATTTACTGGAGAACTAGCTGTGTCTTCCAAAGCATCATCAAGCACAGCTTCTTTGGGTTTTCTCTTAATCATGAAGCTAGATCTATTATAACCTCCATCCACGCCAAACCCTAAAACTTCTCCTTTAATAGTACTCGACTTTCTGGCAACAGAGGAAGCAGCGCCGGAGATTATGGAACAGTCTTCATAATCGTATGAGGAGAAAGAACTGCGGTCATCGTCATCATCCTCATGATTACTGCTTATCAAGAAATCTTGCAAGTACATAGTCCAACTACTCTCCTGAGGGGACTCTTGAGTAGTGGTTCTTGTATTAGAAGAATTACCTCTTCCAATCATGGAGTTCATGGAGCGAACTTCCATCTGTGTACTAGTGCTTTGAACTAAAGATGAAGAAAATAGAACAAGGAAATATAGGTATGGTGTTGGTAGTAAACTGTTGGGAAGCTGAAGAAAGAAAGTCCAGAGGAGAGCAGGCATATATAGTCGAGAACAAAGAGAATACTGGGATTAAGAAACTAATAGCGTAAAATTCTTGACGTGGGGACCTTAAGGGAGTAGAAGCAAAATTTGGCTGCAGCAACTGCCAGAGAGAGAGAGTGTTGGACCTTTGTGGTTTAAGATTAGATGCCAAATATTTTTAGGGGTGGACTTACCTTTCCACTCATTGTGTTGAATGAGTCACGTATTTAGTCACCCAAGACAAGTAGTTCTTTGGTCATTTTGTTGTTATATGTATTCACCAGGAGAAATAATTGTTTGTGTATGATCGATGCCTACTTATGAAAGACTTTGATAAACTGTAATCGTTTCTTCTATATATTTTCCAAAATGTTATCTCATTGTCTTTCCACAACTGACATGCCCCACCATCAACATTTTAAGCAAGACTAGTCATATTTTGTAGACCACTCTATAAAGTGAACTCTGCAAAAATCAACCATATAAAAAATATTTATCCGTTCGGTGAAAGTTGCCATGATTTCATTGTTTAATTGAAGAACACCGTTAATCTAAATAGATTTGATTTTGCTATTTTTTTTTAATAAAAATGATCTTTAAAAAGTGATTTAGAAAATAAACGATTTAGATGATCAAATAATACTCTAGAATCTTAAAATAAAAAGAAAGTACAAACAAAAAGGTAGCTACCATTCCTATTAATTCTTAGCTCTAGCTAATTACACCTCACTCTTACATAAGTGCCGTTTATCTTATGTCCATCTCGCATTAATTCTTTTTCTAAAGGTAAAAGAATTATGTAGAAATTTGATTATCTAAAATGCTAGCAAACATTCTCATTCTACATTCTCGACTCTTCTTCTTATCATGTAATGATGCTTGATGATACAAATCATGTATTTTCTAGAGTACCCTTTAAAGATCAACTGCCAAAAGTTAACAACAAATCCGAAATTGTTTAGGTATCTAATAGTTATTCAATAAATAAAAGAACCATCACGTTAAATTAAAAATTTGACAACGTTAATCAAAATTAGACTTTGGTAAGCAAGTCGCTTTCGTGTCAAGACCATTATTCTAATGTGTCGCGTCATACCACTTGAATTACTTTAACATGTTTAAGAATTCAAACCCTAATTAACCCGACTTGTTAAAATTAACGGATTATCTGACCTGACCTGTTTGTACCCATTAAGAACAATATATACTTTAATAAATAATCAAATAAAAATTTCATATGAAATTACTAAATATTAGCATCTGAAAGCGTAAGTTCCTTTGATTCAACAATAGGTTTACAATTTCATTAAGCACTACAAGTTTAGATATACATGCCACATAAATATTACTTTCAAAACACATCATACTGTATGAAAAATACAGAACAATTATAGTATATGTAATACAAAACTAGTATAGTACGTGAAAAATAGGCAGTGTACTATTCAACAACTTTGCTAAAAAAATACTTTGAAAAATTTGGCCCTTTTTTAAACTTTAATTTTTTATTTAAATTAATTACTATTTATGTTTCTTAAAAAATATGTTAAGAATACGTCTAGAATAAGTGAACTTTATGTGTAACGTTAAAAATTTTGTTAAATAATTAGCGTTAGCACATACGCACATGCATTGCATGTTGGTGTTTTCAAAAATGTATAATTATTTTAATGAAGGGACCCACCAACTTTTCTTATCTTAGCACCCACCTTATTATTTCACCTCTCACAAAAAACTTTAAAAAAAGTCAAACTCTTTGCCTACCCATTTTATCTCCAAAAGGCCTTTACATGGCAATTGAATCTGGTGAACTCAGCCTCCGCTCACAACCACAACCTTACATTCAATTTCTTTCTTGGCCGTTTAGAATTCCAGAATATGGTTTAAACCCCCATCCCCCTTTTTCAATTTTCAAATTTTAAATCATTATATCAAATGTTTTGAACAATTTAACATATTATATTTACACACACACACACACACACACACAATATTAACAATTTATCAATAATATTTATGTTAATTATAAATAAGTCAATTATGTATTGTGATATTCAAATGTATTTAAAATAAACAAAAATTACAAAATCTGCCACTACAGTTGGCACCCACTTCAATTGATAAACCCTTTCTCATAGTTTTTATACTTTGCAATAGGCCAACACAGATTAGACAATGCATTGGAGTGTCAATTTGATTTTTTTTTTAATTTTTTTTAATATTTGGATTCAAACGCTGCATTAAAGTGTCCATTTTTTTGTTTCGTTTTTTCCATCACTCACATGCCTCCTACATGTATGTTTTTACATTTGGATTCAATGTGCAATGCAGTGTCTGTTTCCTGATTCTGTTTTATACTTTTGGATTAAGACGCTATGTTGAAGTGTCTGTTTGCTAGTTTTGTTTTTTTTACACCACTCACATGCCTTCTACCCTTCGCACCTCATGCGACTCCGGAGTTTTACATTTGGATTTAGACACTACAATGCAATGCCCGTTTCATTTTCTATTTTCTATTTTTGGATTTAGATGCTTTAGTGAAACAACATACTTCATATATTACTATGCAAAAATTAACATGATTAGTGAAACAACTCATCTGAAACTTCACTTGTTTTGTTTACAAGAGAATCATTTGAGTTTGAATCAAAACAACAGCTTAGTATTCATAACATAAACTTGAATCAAGTAAAACGAAAATATCTTGCTCCAACATTCAAAGCAGATCAAATGAAGGTAGTAATACCATTCTCGGAACATGACTTTTAAAGGTTGTGGCATGCAAGGCTTTTATCAATGGTTGAGTTAATAGTACACCATCTCTGACATTATTTTGAACCTTAAGATATTTGACGTCTATAAGCCTCGAAGCATTTGATCTCTATACGTGTTTTAGTCTCTCTTCTCGAGTTAAGTCGTTCTATACATTCTCGTCCCATTAAGAGCAAGAACTCTGTCAAAACTAAGAGAAGAGAAGGCCAATCTCTACAGACATTCATCATATCTACATTTGCAGGTATGCATTTATGCTTACATATTAGGTAACTGAAGTATCATTATGTTTGCTTCTGGTTAGATATTTTGAGTAGTAAAGAGTGATTTAGTGACTTTTTGTGATTTTGTTAATGCTCAGTGGTGTTGATATAATACGTTGAGTTGGCACCAATAATTTCATCCACAAAGAATCTAATTAAGGCAACACATTCTCTCTACATGTGCCAAATTATTCAATTTTCCAAACTTCAGTCTATAAATTAGATTTTATAAAACAAAGGTTATGTAGAAAAGCCTATATTCCTAAGGTGTATATATGATATATTACCGAAATGTGGGTGACACATAGAGACCCTCTTGGGTGGGACAAGAAACTTCTATATTAATTTAACTGTACACATTTTGGGGGATGAAGGGTCTCTATCCATGACTTGGAGAAGTAGTTAAATTGAGGGCCCACCTTATATGTGGGTCCAAACTAGCTAACACATGATTCCTTGAGAAATTGTTCTTAATTTAGGTAAAATAGATTTGTGTTTTCTTTTTCAAAGATGCAAACAAATCATACTTTTTTTTTTTTTGTAATAGTTAGAGACATGGTTCTTTCTTGAGGCGATTTACCATTGTTATACGTAATTAACAAGTTGAGGATAATATCAGTATTGTTAAAAGTGGGCCTTTGGCACGTCTCTCTAATAATTCTACATGGTATTAGAGCTAGGAAGCGAGCCCGTACTACCACATGATGGGTGGGTCTCCTAGGCCCTGCGTGACGATGGTGGGTCCCATGGTCCCGCGTGTAAGGTGAGTCCCCTTGGCTCCACGTGATTGCAGATGTGTGAACCTCCTATGTGTGATCATTAATTGGGTCCCACGTGAGGGGTGTTTTGAGTCCCACACTGGCTATATAAAAAGAGAAATAATAGTTTAAATATCCTAACCCTACTCCAACTAAAACTGAGGCCTTTTGTGATAAAATCTCACACCTAACAAATTATGCATGTGGTAATTAACAAGTTGGAAACAATATCGGTGTTGTTGGAAATGAAGCCTTGGCACATCTCTCTGATAATTCTATAATAAAAGCACATGAATAAAAGTGTCACATGGGCATTCATGCACGGGTGCCCTACTTGTTGCTTTGTACATGCCGCCACCACCACGTACATGTTGGTTTGGGCGCGCAGAAAATTAAGTCTCCAAACCTAGACTTTATTAGTGTTCTAATCTTGTCCCTAGAAAGGTTGTTTTTAGAAAAACCAGAAGCAGAAATTTTGATTCAATTTGTTTGGTTAGGTCGGACTTAAAATCCCACTCATAACTTCTGATGAGAAGTTGTCCATAGTGTTATTAGCTTACCGAAAGTATAACGTCCTTACAATGATTAAGTTTGGAACTCTATGATGAACTTTAGACCTAGTAAAACTATTATGCTTTGTATGAGATTATACATCATAGTTTCGAGTAATTGTGAGTTAGTTTAGCTGGTTCCCTTCCACTTGCATTCAGTCTCTTTTTAGTTCAAAATTCTTCTTGTCAGAGGCTACCTCTCATATTTTTTTTATTTTTTTTCTTTTTGTTTAGTGTCTTTATTCAAGTGAATAATATTCTCTTGCAGTGATTTGTCTTATGGTGAATTCACTTACAGTGATTTGATCTAAGTTCTTCATCATTGCTTTTCTACTCCTCCTTCATACCAAGTCTACTCCCGGTATTATTTCTCAAATACCTCCTACCATTTCCAAACTTTGATCAATCGTCGATTTGAAGGACTTTGTTGCAATATGCTCCTATGTATGTTTTTGGCTAAGTTAAATCAAGACTCATATGTTCCATTTTAAGGACAATTAAATCATTTGAGATCAAGTTCAAATCCACAAATCCGTCAACTGCTCCACAAATTCTTCATGGCGAAATGCAATGAGTTCTATGATGGTGTAATGGATGTATAGTAGCTTTTTTTTTTTTTTTTTTTTCTCTTGAGCTAGTCACTTCATTTTCCTTTGTAAGTCTTGGGGTTTGGAGGGCCAGCACTGATTTTAGGAGACTTGGATTATGAAGGGCCTCTTGAAATTTCTCTCAACAAATCAAATTGGAGATGAAATTGCTTTCCATAACTTTAATTAATTTGCTTACAAACGAGAATTTATTTGAGCTAACTGAAATATTTGTGTGGTTAATATGCATGCTACTACGTGAAAATAAAACAAGGACCATTGTATGAGCCAGATAGGTGGATCACAGCCACAAGCAATACATGTTACTCTCGTGCATGTACAATAACCATATATACACTAACACTTTGCTAAAATTGGAGTTACCATTATAAAACGAGATCGGGAGATATGTGGCATATAAATGTGAAAGTGTTAATTTTATGAATGGAACGGGAATGATGCGTCGCTAGCATATAAACATGGCGCACATGCATGCACTCCCACCAGTGACAGTGAGTGGTTAATTTATTTGGTAGTCCTTCAAGTTGAACCAAATGTTTGGCTTTCTGTACTTGAAAACCGTGAGAAACAAGGCTTATTTATTGAAAACCATGAGAAACAAGGCTTATTCACTAGTACAAAAAACACTTTGTGCGATGCAGGTCTTTGGTTCCACAAAAATTAACCCAACAAACCTTTGTTGCACACCAACCGTCGCGCCAAGGCAGTGAATGAAGGGTTTGCGTGACGAAGAAGTGACCTATGTCGCGCAAAACCACTTTGCACGACGCAAGTTACTATGTCGTGCAAAGTGGTTTTGCGTGACGTAGATCACTTCTTCGTCCAGCAAACCCTTGTTTTTTTTTTTTTGACAAAAATATTTTTTATTTAATTTTTAATAAATATTGTAATTAAATTTTAAACAATAATTAATAAATCAAGAAAAGGTATTTAATTATAAAATATATGAAAATGTACATACAAGATGTTCGAATATAAAAGAAAAAACTACAACAAGTAGTCTTATGGGCTTAATGCATCAGGGTACTGGGTATCGGCTGGGCGACGTGGTTGGGAGGTCAAAGGTGGAGCAACATCAGGTGCTGGCATCGGAATTTGGAGACGGGATATATGTAAGGCCCGTAAGATCATACTCATCTTCTCGTCTTGGGCCTAAAATTGGGCTACAATCTCGGCTTCCCGAGCTGCTGCTTTGGCCTCCCATGTTGCTTCTTGGGCCGCAAGCTGACCTTTTAGGGTTGCCACTTCCTCCGTTAGGGCGATGACCTATCATGTGGTCGATCTGGAAGAGGAGGCACCCATCTCACGAACCTAAGCCTTCCCCATACACCGAACAACCTTGCCATAACGACGACCGAGCTTTTGAGCAACAACAACGAGTCACCAAACTAGGAATGCTAAATAGTCATCAAACTAGGAATGCTATATACCACTAGAAATCCACTTGCAAATATGATTCACTTGTCACAACAAAAATATCCAATTTCTGAAAACTGCATTGAACCCAATGAAGGAAAAATTTTGTCCTAGCTAAGAACATGTAAGAACATTTGAATACATATGCAAACTAATAACTCTTTAAAGTAGGCATGCATTCAAAAACAATTCATAAAACCCATGACTTTCAAAGTCTAGTATATGGTGAACCATAAGACTCTTTAACAAAATTAAAGAGAATAAGAATTTAGAGATTCTTTACCCTTGAAGCTCATCCTTGATTACACAAGGGATTCACCCAAGTGGAGGGCCTTCAAGTCACCTCCTTGCTCCTTGAATCTTCCTTGTGATTTCCTCCCTTTTAGTGCTCCTTTTCTTCTTTGAGGATTTGAGGATTTGTTCTCCAAAACACCAAAAGTTTGGTGTCTCTAAGTCTCCACACCAAAGATCTTGTGTGAAGATGAAATGGATGACTTAGGTAAGAAAGATTGCTAGATGTTCCTCACCTAAGGTAATGAGAGAATAGGTTTCACCCAAATTCAATTAGAAACCCCTTAAGGTGAAATGGCTATAAAGATGTATTTATACCACCTCACAATGGAGTGGCAAACTTGCAATTAAGCCAAGTTCACTACCCTTAAGGTTATGGCCGGCCATTTAATGTTTTTGGGCTTAATTGCCCATTTTGTTTTAGTTGTCATACAATCTTAAACATAATGGGCCTTGTGGGCCAAAACGTTTTTGTGCCCCGAAGCCCAAAACTAACTTAAACGCCCAATACGAACGTTTCGTATAATTAATTAACTATTTAATTAATCTTGACCATTCTTCAATTAAACCATTTAATTGCTTATCCATTTCATATAATTTCTTCACTTATATCTTTACTCGGTGTACGATCCATTAGGTTCCAATTAGCGAGGTAGTGGGCGATGTTACTCTTAACGATCGATTGTGAATTGAAACCACATTTCAATTCTCCCTTAAATTAGTGTTTGCTAATCTTTAGAGCTTCCACAAACCATGGGTGACGCCTAGCAGCATGTCATGGTTACCCAAGCTAAGTAGAAGTGGTTGGAGAACCTATCCAGTTACAACTACAATGCAATACGGTCCTTCTCTAATACAATACTCTTAATCACATTGTTTGAGTGATAGTTTGTTTCATGTCTACTATCCAATGTGATACTTCTTTATATGATTCAATCGAATAAGATTTGGAACATCTTCCTTAGTCATATTCATATGCTTTGGCCAAAGACTCTCGAATCATATCTTAGAGTATTCTCCTTCCATCATGGAAGGTTAGAGATCCCTTGTTGTACATTCATATGCCTACATGACTAGATAGCTTGACCCCAACAATGCCGTGGACACTCCAATGGAATGCCGTTGACATAATCAAAGATCAAGGACCTAACCATTAGACATCAATGATGCCTCAGGTCAAAGGACTACTTTGCATATTGCAACTATTGAGTTCTTACATGACATGTATGTTCGAACTCTTGTTTGATCGTAGTTCAGTGTACTCGATTACTCTTTCGAGCACCTATGTGTTTGCCTTAGTGTCCAACACCAAATGACTTGAGACTAGTTCATACTCACGCTTGAGTCGACATAACACATACTAACCTTAGCGGATTGTCAATGCCCAATTGGCAATCCTATGGCTAGGAACGTTTTAGGAATGAACATAAGAGAAAGGTCTCGTTAATTTAACTAACTTAAATCACTTGTCTCTTAGATCAAATACATTCCTTGGATTCCCTTATTGCTTAAACACAAGATACTATAAATAGTGATTAACAATAAGCTTTGCCCTTCTATTAAACATATAAAAGTTTAACACAATAAGTATTCCAAAAAGCTATTACATCAAATGAGTGGCTTTGTGGGCATACTTCCAACACCCAAATGCTAATATTTCATCAAATACAAAAATAAAATCCAAGAAATGCCCTCATAAGCAACAAACCATACATATCCAAATCAATTACCAATGCATATATTTAAAGACAACCGATTAAAACAAATTAACCAACAAAACAACCCGTGTAAAAAGATAATGCGAAAGCATAGAAGCAGCAACATACGAATATTTGAACCAATAATTCTCTGAGATAAGGCAACACTCAGCAAAAGCCAACGAATGCCAAGATACAAACATGTTATCCTTAATTTAATCAAAAGACCAGGTATGCTCAGATTGAGGAACCTAAGGTTAATGCACAAGAAAAATGAAGAGAAATATACTTGAAAGGGAATATTTACCACAATCTAATCACCAAAAATAATGCAGTCTATTTTAGAATTTCAACACATGCTTAGAACAAATTGCTGTCATGAACGCTAACAAGACTAAGAGAAACATCAAAATAAGAAATCAACAAAAGATCAACTACTTATATATCAACCGGAATTACAACCCAATTCAAAAGAACTGGGGTTTAACTCCATGACCATGTCCATTTTCGCTTTTGGGAAACGACCCACTAACTGAGCAATCTAATTGAAATCTGAATTCCGATATCAAAAGTCAAACTACAAATGTACAACATGACCATAGAATCCAAGGAAGAAACTGCAGAGAAAGAAATAAAAAGACTTACGTCTATCTCCGGTATTGTAACCCCTAGCTTAGTAGACAAATTTTTCTTGAACCCATTAAACTTGGGAGCCAAGTCCTTTGCAGCAGGGCCACCATCAACACCAAATTCATTAAACCTACATATACAAATGTGCCATCAACACAAAGGAACATGATATTGTTTTAATTTTTAAACACATCAAAGTGCAACAAAATTTTTGACAATCTCAACAATAAGCCTAGCAAAGTCGTGCATAATTCTTGCAATATAGAATACAAACGGATACCCATCAAGGTTGTAAATAATATGTAAAAGTTAAAACAATAGCAAAACCAACAGGTAAAGCACCCGAAGATACTGAAACTTAACAATATCAGGGCAGAAAACTTATGCGAGGAGTTACAAGCTATAAACTGGAACCGTAACAACTTTTATCTTGCATTCTTTTCTTTGTGAGTTAAACGTTGGCCCATGTTAAAAACCTCCTCACTATACATTGGTTAGAGCACCTCAATGGCCAATTCCTTGACTTTACATCTGTTGATTGGGACCCTATCAAGTATTTCCAAGAGAATAAAAAGAATCATCACTATGCAAGAAATTTGGTACGTGAAAAATAAGGCACAAACATATGCTTGAAATGATGATCTTGCCAACAACATCTAGTATAGTTACCACATTATCCATGACTTCAAGCACTGACAAATCCTTATCAAGATCAAGTACAATTTTTCTTGTGAAGTATGCTTTGTACAAATAAATGCATAGTCTGTGGAAGAGTCAACTTTACTAGCATGCACTGTGAAAAAATTTTGTCATGCATGAAAGAGGAATATACAATGATAGAATGGTGTATGCGTATTTGGAAATGGTAGTGATCAGCTAACTGTGGCGGCAATTGTGATTGCTCAGATGTTAGCAAAATGGTACTAGTTGCATCAGAAAGTGACAATGTAGTGAAGAACAATGCGAGAGAAATGATTGGCACAAACAATAGTGGTGCCTTGTCAAGTGTTAATAATCATGAAATAAAAGAATCGAGTATTATGAAGCTATCTCATGATTCCAAAACCAAACAGTTTTTCCTTAGCAAAAAAGATAATGACCAGAAGGCATTGGCTACTCAAAGAAACAGGCCCTTAATACTAAATTGACCTCTGATTTATTAGTCAACTTTATCTTCAGATAAGTAATCAACTGTGCATTTTTACATGAAATGAAGTAAGCTTTCTCCAAATAAACAAGGATAATGGAAAGGGATTAAAGGCTCACGTGGAATTGATTCACCAACCCATGAGGCTTGTCCTTCAAGAAACTGAAACTGAAACCCCAGATACCTTCAAGATATATATATATATATATATATATATATATATATATATTGGGAAACAACATGAGGATATTGCCAGACTTCAGTGTTTATAACATTTCATATTTTTCCAAAAGAAAAGAGGAAAAAAGAGAGCTATTAACGATGAATTAGCCAAGTAAGTTCTTTTATAAATAATCATGATGGAAGGGTGATACTTGGCAGAAAATCCAAAAAAGGAAAAAGAATATTGTTTTCATTCCTGGCATATTGATATAAACAAGAAGAAGTTAAGGGAATTAATTCTTCAGCAAAAAGAAGGAGACCACTAATTTTGAGTGTTTGAGGCAACTACTTACCACGCAATCCCCAAAGGGGAAAATATGTAAAATACAGATTCTCAGCCTAGATTTTGGATAAGGGGAGGAGCCATAAGAAACTTGCAAGAAGTCCAATGTTACAAATGGGCATCAACGAACTCGGAGTGCACAACAAATATAGACATAAGAAAAACAAATCTTATTTAGAATGACACCAAAAATTAAAACATCCTCATGTTGTATTCAGAATCTAAGATTCGACTTTCCCCTTTTCATTTTTTTAATATAAATAAATAAATAAATAAATAAATCTTCAAAAACCCCTGCAACATACCCTACAACACTTCCTACACTAAGACCACCAAAGACAAATGCTACAGCCCGTGAACGCTCTTCCAAAAGTATTGTCCTGCACCATGTAAAAGATTATAAGGATTCTCAAACACAAAGGAATGGACCGACTAGACAACCTGAATTTGAACAAAATAATGCTTCATGAACACCACCTATGAATCTATGATGGACCAAACTAAATATAAGAATGTCATACCTGGCAATAAGGCCTATTGAGGCGGATGGGGAAATGCTTTCTCCAATTCCAATCAAAACCCACTTCCCCAAACCTAATGAGCTTGTACCTCTGAGGTCGGCGCCCAATCCCAATCAAAACCCACTTCCTCAGACCCATTTTCTTGACCCAATTCCCCCTCAGAATCGGACCCAGAATCCAACCCATCCGTTGGACCTTATCCACCGGTAGCCCATTGACGCTCTTGGTTTCTCTGACGCTTTCCTTCTCCTTAATTCTACAAAGCACTCTCAACTCCGAGTTGTTCTTCAGAGGAAACTGAAGAAAACGATGTCGCTTGGGGTGAGGGAAGGGGAGAATGTGAGCTTGTGCTGTGTGAAAATAAGCAGGAGGAGGGCTCGGCTTTGAGCATGAGCGAGACGGAGTGAGAGAAGGGGTGAGATGAGCGAGAGGGGAGAGAAACCGAGTGAGCCAGAGGGAAAAGAGAGACAGATGGGTGGGTAGTGTTTGGACTCTTTTCCAACTAAACCCTAAAAAAGCGCCTATTTTTTTTCAATTAAACCACCAAAATTTAGAGATCAAGTAACGCGATAAAATTTTTCAACAATTATAAATAAAAAATCACGATTTAGCGGTTATTTTAATTTTGATTTCGATTATTTTTTATAACTACACTCCTTGATCCTATATAAATACAATGAATGTATTCAATCTTCCTTTTAAAATATTTACACTAGTGAATTAATGAAAGTATAAATAAACTCCTTGACCCTATATACAATGAATGAATTCGATCTTCAATTTAAAATATTAACACTAGTGGATATCATAAAATCTTATGTTATACTTAATGAAAGTATAAATAAACTCTTGAGTGTTAGTAAATCTATGGTTTTGATGAGATACGCATTCTACGAAACTAGTTTTAACGATCCAACCGTCAAACATGTTTGTATATATTTCGAGATCGTATACGCCAAAAATCGCAAAAAACAAACATTCAAAGATCAAGTAATGGGACAAAACTTTTCGATAGTTATAAAAGAAAAATCATGATTTAACGGTTATTTTAACTTTGATTTTGATGATTTTTTACAACTACACTCCTTGATCCTATATGAATATAATCAATGAACTCGATTGTCAATTTAAAATATTTACACAAGTGGATACCACAAAATCTTAAGTTATACCACAAAGTTGTTGACTTTACGCGACGAAGGTGTGCATTCATCGTGCAAAATAGCTTTGCGCAACGTAGATGCACCTTCATCACGCAAAGTAGTTTTGCATGACGGCAGTCTTTGTCCCGCAAAACTGTTTTGCTCGACGTAGGTGCACCTATGACGCGCAAAGCTATTTTGCACAATGGGGCGTCGCGCAATTTATAATTAAAAATATATACATACATATATATTATAAAATTTATTGAAAATGTAACTTTACTCCCTTCAAATTCAATTTTTGTTTTACATAAAACTCATAGTAATATATTTTTCTAACAGAAACCATATCCGAGCTACAATAATAAATTTAAAGCTACTTAATAAATATACATACCATTCGATTTCTTAAGTGTTATACTTGCAAAATAAATCAATTTAAAGCTACTTAATAAATATATATATCATTGAACTTAATGGGATATGAATTCTATGAAACTCGTTTCAACAATCCCACCGTCAAACATGTTTGTATATACTTTGAGATCGCATACGCCAAAATCGCAAAAAACAAACAGTCAGAGATCAAGTAACAGGACAAAAGTTTTTTACGATTATAAATGAAAAATCACGATTTAATGGTTATTTTAACTCCGACTTTGAAGATTTTTTACAGCTACACTCCTTGACCCTATATGAATACAATGAATGAATTCGATCTTCAATTTAAAATATTTATACTAGCGGATACCACAAAATCTTCATTTTATACATAATGTAAGTATAAATAAACTCTAAGTGTTAGTGAGTCTAACGTTTTGATGAGATGCACATTTTACGAAGCTAATTTCAACGATCCAACTATTAAGCTTGTTATAAACTAAAAATCATGATTTAACGGTTGTTTTAACTCTGATTTTGATGATTTTTTAGAGCTACACTCCTTGACCCTATATGAATACAATGAATGAATTCGATCTTCAATTTAAAATATTTACACAAGTGGATACCACAAAATCTTTATATTATACTTAATGAAACTATAAATAAAATGTAAGTGTTAGTGAATCTATCGTTTTGATGAGATACGCATTCTATGAAGCTAATTTCAACGATCCAACTGTCAAACTTGTTTGTATATACTTCGAGATCGCATACACCACAAATCGCAAAAAAAAAAAAAAACATTCAGAGATCAAGTAACAAGACAAAACTTTTCGACGGTTATCAACGGAAAAATCATGATTTAACGGTTATCTTAATTCCGATTTTGATGATTTTTTATAACTACACTCCTTAACCCTATATGAATACAATGAATGAATTCGATCTTCAATTTAAAGTATTTACACTAGTGGATACCACAAAATCTTTATGTTATACTTAATGAAAGCATAAATAAACTCTAAGTGTTAGTGAATCTATCGTTTTTATGGGATATGCATTCTACGAAGCTAATTTCAACAATCCAATTGTCAAATTTGTTTGTATATATGTCAAGAGCGCATACGCCAAAAATCGCCAAAAAAAAAACATTTAGAGATCAAGTAATGAGACAAAACTTTTCGATAGTTATGAACAAAAAATCACGATTATGGTTATTTGAACTCCAATTTTGATGATTTTTTACAGCTACACTTGTCGATCCTATATGAATATAATGAATGAACTCAATCGTCAATTTAAAATATTTACACAAGTGGATACCACAAAATCTTATGTTATACCACAAAGTTGTTGACTTTGAGCGAAGAAGGTGTGCATTCGTCGAGCAAAATAGCTTTGCGTGACATAAGTGCACCTTTGACACGCAAAGCAGTTTTGCATGACGGCAGTCTTCGTCACGCAAAACTGTTTTGCGTGACAAAGGTGCACGTACGTCGCGCAAAGCTATTTTGCATGACGAATGCACACCTTCGTTGCACAAAGTGGTTTTGCGCAATGACCCCATCATGGCGTTGCACAAGTTATATTTAAAAAAAAATATACTATAAAATTTACTGAAAATGTGACTTTACTCCCTTCAATTTCAATTTTTTTTTACATAAAACCCACAATATTATCAAGTAACGTGACAAACCTTTTTGACGGTTATAAACATTCAGAGATCAAGTAATGAGACAAACCTTTTCAACGGTTATAAACGAAAAGTCATGATTTAACGGTTATTTTAACTCCGATTTTGATAATTTTTTACGGCTACACTCCTTGACCCTATATGAATACTATGAACTAATTTGATCTTTAATTTAAAATATTTATACTAGTGGATACCGCAAAAGAATGCAATTAAAACTTAGCACAATTACATTATACGTCGAAGGAGGTAGCTGCTGCAACTAGTTTGCAGTTTCTGCCTCCCCAACTGATTAAGTGGTGGGAAAAAAGTAGTTGACTTTGCGTGACAAAGATTGGCGTCATGCGAAACATTTTTGGGCGATGGAGGTGCACCCACGTCGCGCAATGTTGGAAAAAAAACGGTAAAGCATTCTTGGTTTGGCGCCAAAATCTTGCATACCTTCGTCACTCAAAACAGTTTTGCGCAATGCCAGTCTTCATCGCACAAAGTTCCGTTATGCAAAGGCCATTTGCATGACGTTTTGTGTTTAGAGTTGTGCAAACATACTTTGCTCGACGAAATTTGCTCCATCGCGCAAACATGGTTTTGTACTAGTGATTTAGCTCTTGAAGCTAAATATATCGCACTTTGCTTCTTAAACGTAGTAATTTCATTCCATCTCAATCAATTTGGTTTCATAGACCTTACATGAAAAGAAAGTCTGGACATTTCATACCATGCTGATAGAAATGAGCTATTGTAGGTCTGGTATGAAATTTTCAGACTGCCATAAACCTCTAAAACTGTCAAATCTCTACTAGTGTGGACAGAAAGATGTAGTGAAATGGCTCGATTTTGGCAGTTTTAAGGAATAAAGTGAGACAAGCTTAGTTTTTTGAGGTAAACTGAGATTGAAAGACAATTTCAAGAAGCAAATCAATAAACAATTGTTAAAAAAAATTAATAGCTTTCTATTTATTTAAATTATTTACATTGACAGTGTTGTGTCTTGATTTAAAAATACCTTTAGGATAAACACATGACGTCAGAACATAGGTGAATAACAAATATAGACAAATCAAAAGTCTGATAGAACTCATATATCCAATATATCAGATACTCAGCAGAATATTTACCCAAAAAAAAAAAAATTATTTCACAAGCAACGAAATCAAACTAACTAAATATAAGGGTTACTAAAACCCTACTCTCAAGTACACTTTCCAATACTACTATACCACTCAAAGTTCCTCACCTTTAACTAGCTATCTGTATCTATACAAGAAATAACATTAGCCCCTGAAATAGTATACATGTTTACATGAAAGACTCGATAAGCTACAGAGCTCGTGTGAGTGACAAATAATAACATGTGATAGTCTCTAACTAAAACAGTCTTAGGTCTTAATTAATAACATGGGTTAATCTCAGTTTACTATAATGAAGTTTCTTAGTTTTCAATTTTCATACATCAAGTTTTTTTCGTCCTAGTCTGGTACCTAAAGTCATAATTCTTAGACATTTTCGTACATTCGTACGCAAACTCTCCATTTCCTATTTTCTTCTATACAAGTACCACATTTGCTAACTAATTGAGGTCGTGGACATCAATGATAAGGTTAGAGTTCTTGAGTTTGTCAATCTCTAACTTAATGATGTACTATGATTCCATTTTTGCTTGATAACCCGCTTGGCAGTGAGATTCAAATGAAGTCAATGACAAGTGATGAAAGCATTGACCCTCAACATATGCTTCACGGACCATGCAAACACATCTTTGTTGGCTTGTAAGAAAGCAGTGAATGGTTCTTTCTCGCAGTCGGATAGCTTAGATTCTATCCTAGCTCCATGCTCTGGTTTGTCAAGGTCGAGACTGATATAAACAACATCCTCATTAGCTTTGAATTCTGGAGCGCTGTCGTCTTGGGGGTTAAGGTCCAAGTCAAACTCTTTGTAGTTTGCTTGTTGACCCCCAGATTATGATTGCTATGCTGTTTTGTTCATGGTAGTGCTAGAGCTCTATTCCTACTTCTAGATAGCGTTCATGTTTTCTACTGCGCAGCAACGCGCCACCCACTTGGCCTCCCCTGATTTATTTGACTTTGCTCGGGACTGGGTAACAGAGCAAATGATGTTAAGACTAGGGATTGCCTTTATCTTGTGGAGCTAGTTTCTTTTAACTATGGAATTGTCAGAAATTGGGCAATCCATAACATGGAAGAACACCAAGTACGTGTACGATTACACATGAACCGTGATTTTTACTATCCCAAGAGACCAGACGGGAGTTTCGTTCAAGGTGTGGAGCGTGGTCTTACTTTTGTTACTATTGTCCAGGATCCTCATCTTTTTGGCTGCGTCCTTGGAAAGGATGTTAACCTTGGACTTGTTGCCCTCTAAGACATGGCTGGCCATAACGTTGGATTTTTTTAACTTTGATGACGAAAACATCATTATGAGGGAGTGGACGTCCTCTAAGTCTCAGCTAACTCCTGGTTCGAGAACTTCAGGATGTTAGAATCGATTAGGAGAGATTTGTTGATAGTCATCACTAACCAGAGCTTCTTGCATGCATTTTTCTTTCTTTGCTGGCTTTTCCCAAGTATTCTTGCCCTCTATAAATGCAGTTGACATTGAATGTGGGACCTTCAGCTGGGTCCTGGCCTTTCAAGAATCCCTGAGCCTTCTTGGGCTTCTTACATGAAGTTTTAGAAGTGCGGCGTTGGTGCTTTGCTCCTAAGTTTAGATCAGCGGTTCTTGTTGGGGTCTGAACAGGCATTGATTCCATCGTAGGTTCTCCAAAACTGGAGATGACCTTCTCCAAGGCTTTCATGCACATTTCAAGGTTAATCACGTGCTTTCTGCTTCGCGAGTCTTTTCAGAACTTATCGACAGCCACATAAATATGCAGCACGCTCTTCGAAATTCACTATATACATATAAGCGGAGTGTCCTCATTGATAGAAGCTACACCGTGCATTGATGTGGCGTAATTACACTGTGATAATGTTAGAGTAGCCATAACAGTGGTGGGGTGGTCTGATCGGGAGGTTCTTGAGTTCAACTCTGAATGAAAGCACTAATTGTTGGAACCAAATCTGCACATTGCCACCTGTGGTAGAGATGCCCAAAAATGCTAACCTATAAAAAAACAAACAACCATAACCAAGCCAATGATCGAATGGAGTGTGCCGATCCAAGTTTATCAGATGGTCAGACTAGTAAGCAATATTAAGACTTAAGCAATGGACAAGAGAAATGCAGAGATTGCGTAACCAGAAGTGAACCCTAGAATGATGTTTATACCAGTCGAGGAGAGGCCTTTTAGAATATTAGAATCCTTATTAGACTGGGAGAATCCATGAGGATATATAGGAAGAAGATATTGTATCCTTTTAGGAGTGTGATTACTTGTAGTTGCATGTCAATCCTTAGATTGTAATGACTCCAAGATTATAGGAAACATGTTGATTCCTTGCTGGATTAAGTTCCTGAATCTTGCGGAACAAGCATGATTTATCTCAGCGAAGTCGACGGACTTCGCCCACTGATTCTGAAACAGGATGATGGTGGCTTCGTCGATCTGTTTAGTCAGCTCCGCAATCAAGGTTGTTGTGTCCATGTTTGGACTTCTAAGGTAAACGTATTATGACCTGCCTTACTCCGATCCTAAAAAATCATGGTCCCACTGGGTGGTTTTAAGAAAGTGGAGTGATTGCAGTTGAGACGAGTGTGGGAGAAAAGTTGCAGTTTTTTATTTTTTTTATTTTTTTTTTAATTTGTAGTAAGAGATGTTGAGAGGAGAGACGTGGAATTTGATTTTATGTTTTAATCTTTAATTGGTGTTTTTTTTTTTTTTTTTTTTTTTTTGTGGTTTGGTATATTTATGCACAATTGAATTATATGATTATTTTTTTGTCAGTTATGGGTAAAAGATTAGAATCATCTTTTTCATATTTTTCATATCAATATTTCCACTGATAGATTTTAAATCCTATATCTAATGTAACTGGATAAAAGTCACACACTGTGTGTGTTTAAATATTTGATAAAAAAAATTGGAAAAAAAAGAGGGAAAAGTAGGAAGTGTGTGAGAGAAAGTGGAGAAGTAAAAACTATGGTTAAATGTGGATGAGGGAAGGAAAAAAAACAAAAAAAATTTGTTTTTGCGAAATTACTTTAATTCCTATATATTTTTTTTCTTTTATAATATTTGTTCAGTTATGATCAATCACAAGCAGCCCTTGTTACTTCTGTCCTGCTCATGATCAATCACAAACGTACGGGCCTTATTAATTAGTGAAAACGAGTCTAATTAGAGTCTTATCCATCGTGCAATTGGTCTTTTAAAGAGGAATGAATCCATGTACTCATTTGGGGAAGAAATCTAACTACTTTGCCACTTAAATTGGGTCTCTCGCAAAAGTCGATGCCTTTTCTGGCGACTATCGTTTTCCCGCAATCATATTGCACCTGGGGCGCACACTTTCATGAAGATAGGAACTGAATAAGTGACAGCATAACCCTACTTTCTCCAATCCCTAACCAATCAGCATACAGAATTCAGCCACGGCAGCTTCCCACTAGGGCATAAGTACCTTCACCTGGCAGTTTATCCCAGAAGTACAGCCTCACGACCTGAACCTCTTTGAAAGCCACGAGACAGATCTACAGAGCTTCACTCACCATTGTCATCTCCAAGTATTGCACAGCCTTTGCTTTAATCCCTGATCAATTCTTGCTACAGCTGAAAATGGCCAGAAGAGAAATGACCAGCCACAGTCATATTTCTAGCACCGGGGGGCTAACAACAATCTCCAAACCATGAATTATTCTGAGAATTTCTGAGAAGAGTCCCCAATTCTAAAGCTCCAACTCGTTGAGAAGTAAGTTCTGTGAAATAAGCAAGAGATGTAATTAATTAAACTCAAATATATAGACATGCATTGCTTATCTTTCTCTTGTTGATCACTTTTCTAGGTTTTTTTTTTTTTTATGTTTTACTTTGTTGTCATCATCATCACGATTCTAATCGCATTAGGGTTTGTTTTTCTTCAGATCTGTGAAAGAAGTGTGTGCAGGGTCAAGTAGTAAGATTACAAAAACGGTTGAGGCGTATTGCGAATCAGGATTAGAGTTCTGGGTTGATTTAAGGGTAATTAAGATTAGATAGTTGATTTGTAGCAGCGTGGTCACCCTTTTACACCCAAGTTCGAATCTCCTCCTTGTAGATTTTAATTAGAATGTCTTGTAAAAAAAAGTAAAATTTACTAAAAATCTTTTTTCATTTTGATTAGGATTGTCGGATACGAAGCACTTGAGTCTCATAAGGTTAACCTTCTATCTCTCATCATTTCGATCTGCTTCGATATTGTGTCCTGTTAACCAAAAGCAAATTTTTTTTTTTTAAATTTTGTGTCAAGTTAACCTAGCTCAATCTTTTTTCATTTGTGTTATCAAATTTTGTCAAATTCAGTCGTCATACTTTTGGTTAACTTTCAGACAGATAGTCCACAACTTGATTTAGATCAATGGACCTACCTCAACTCACTGTGCCGGCACCCCCTCAAGGTTCATCCCCACAAGCTGATCACCTCTCAAATTTTGGCTCACAAATGCTTCTTGCAAGCAACAGTATCCAAAGAGCCAGTGACCTACTCGTTTCAGTCTCACTAGGTGCTGAAATGAACAGAATCAAAACCACTGAGCTAGCTTCTCAAGCAATGGAAGAGCTGAAAAAACTGGCTTTGGCTAGAGAGCCTCTTTGGCAAGTTGACATGGAAAACAACACTGAAATACTGAGTGGGATCGAGTATACAAGGGAATTTGGGGATATCAGCACGACATTGACGGAGATAGTGAGAATGGTTGAGGTAAGAGAGTCTCAATCTCTGCCAAACTTGGATCTTAACAATTCTGAATATTCAGTAGGAAGTAATGAACATAGGCCAAGGGAACTTGGAGGACCAAAGCCTGCTAGTTTTGAAGCTTCACGAGAAATTGGTTTTGTCCAAATGAATCCCGCAAGCATTATTGAAATGCTAATGGATTTGGTAGGTTCTCATTAGAGAATTAACTTAATTTAATTTTTTTAAAGCAAGTTTGAACAAAGAATGCTAAAATGCTAATAATTGCTTAAATTTTGTTTGATAATTAGGGGCAGTGGTCACAAGCATTTTCTACTATCGTCTCTAGGGCATCGATCATGGGAGTGTTGTCATCCACTGGAGTGCAAGGAAACTATGATGGAACTCTTCAAGTGGTAATATAAATGCCCTATTTATAGACACAATCGTGCATATGTGATGACTATATATGCTTTATTGATTAGTGTGAGATTCACGTACTGTGACCCCCACACTAATTAACCGCTAACGCTAACACTCCTCTTATGTTTATTAAACCGTAAAACTAATGATATCAAGTTATTAATTGTTGTTTCCAGATGTCAGCTGAATTTCAGGCCCCTGCACCTTTAATCCCAACTAGAGAAAGTTATTTTGCAAGGTATTGCAAAAATCTGGGCGACGGCATGTGGGGAGTTGTGGATGTTTCCTTGGAAAAATTGTTTCAACTTCCATCAAGAAACTTTAGAAGACAACCATCTGGTTGTTTGATTCAAGAGATGCCAAATGGATGGTCTCAGGTGACCTCACACACACACACACACACATTAAGTAAAAATTTCAATTTACTTAGCATGGTTGTGAAAAGCTTAATTAATTAATTAATTAATCTACAAAATTGCTTCCTTTTGATATGCTAGGTTATATGGGTAGAACATGTGGAGGTAGATAATACACTTGTTCATAATCTTTTTAAGCTGTTGGTCAGTTCTGGTTTTGCATTTTCCGCAAAGCGTTGGGTTGCCACTTTGATTGGACAATGTCAATGGCTGGAAACTTTAACGGCCACAAGAACTACTCTTGCAGCTGATGGAGGTAAGTAATTCTACTAAACTATTTTTTTCTGCAGCTTGAAGTTAAATAATTCCACTCTTGCAGCTGGTGGAGGTAAGTAATTCTACTCTTGCAGCTGATGTTTCATCACAAGGAAGAAGAAGCCTATTGAAGCTTTCGGAGAGGATGGTGAGAAGTTTTTACATTGATAATATCAGCGGTTCTGCTGAGAACAAATGGATGCCACTGCCATTGGGCTGGCCAGTCTCTGGTGCTGAAAATGTAAGGATTTCAATGAAGAGTAGCACAGATGACCCTGGAAAGCCTCCAGGTAGCACAGTAGTGTTTACTACTTCCATAAACCTTCCATTCCCTCGTAAACAATTATTCAGTTTCCTTCGCGAGGAGAAATGTCGAAATGAGGTATGCACTTCTTAACTTTCAATGCAGTGATGTCTCTGTAAAAATAAGCCTACAAAATTTACCTTAATTTATTTTAAGTTTTGAGCCATTAATATATTAAAGTCGTTGAGAATGAGTCCTACATTGATGGGAGAAGGGGTCTTGTATGAGCTTATAAAAGGTTGGGTTACTTCCTATATTGCCAATTGGGTTTACGGTGGAACTCCTCAACTTTTTTCATGGTATCAGAGTAGGTTGTCCTACATGTGAAGCCAAACAGCCACATGCGCTTCACGTTACCCTGTTGTATTATCCATATGTTAGGCTTGAAAATTCGCCATACATGAGAGAGCGTGTTGAGAATGAGTCCCAGATTGATGAGAGGAGTGACCTTGCATGGCCTTACAAGAGGTTGGGCTACTCCTAATATTACTAATTGGTTTCACGATAGAATCTTAACTTCCTTCAAAAATGACCAAACGAAAGAAAGATGAAGATCATCGTTAGATCTTGTACGTACTGAAAACTAAGAGTTGGATTTGAAAAATGAAACAATTATTGTTTGTCACGGTAGCTCTATGAGACATGCCAACGCAGTGTTCCGATGAATCACTTTTAGGAAGCTTTGTACATGAAAGCATCTATTCATCTGGCAGTAAATACATATTTATATAACACACTTGCATGCTTTATTTGGCACTTCAAAAAGTTTTCATGCATTTCTTCTTAATTATGAAAATATAGAAAGAGATAAGTATATGATGACTATTTTGAAGTGTTGGTAACAATTTTCTTTAATTATTTATTAATTTCTAATCTTGCATCCGTAAACATAGCGAACACAAACCTTAAACCCTAAAGCTCATACGCAAGAAGTAACATTCTTGTTTTAATTATTTAGAAGGGAACTTTAACGAAAAGCTCCTGGTACTGTTTGCTTTAACGAAGAATCATATTTTTACACTAAAAAGTCAATTCTAGTACCATTCACTTTACCCTTTATTTTGTTATTTTCATTAAAACTTAAAGTTTTCAAGCTCTTTCATTATTTTTCCTTATTTAGAATCCTTAATTTTCATTGACCAAAAAGAAAATTTAGAATCCTTAATTTCATGTGTAAACATCTATTCCAAAGAGGTCGCGTTGATTTCCATTTACTTTGTGTATATAATACAGTGGGACATGCTTGCATCAAATCATGGCTTCGATGAATATGCATATTTTGCTAATGGCAAAACTCCAGGAAATCGTGTTTCCATATTGCGAGCCTTTAAGTCCAATGTGAGTTGCAATATATATGTACCCCTAACTTTTATTTTGTTTGCCCTTTTATAAGTTAAAAATGTTTTAAGCTTGACTTCAACTTGTGTTAACACAAAATTTTGATTTAATTTGGAGGAATAAAGGAGGTTGGAATATTCTACTTGCAAGCAAGTTATACTGACACAACAGGCTCATACGTTGTTTATGCACCGATCGATATGTATGCCATGACAGAGCTCATAAATGGTGGAAACCCAGACAATTTGGCTATTTTGGCTTCAGGGTTTTCTATCCTTCCTGATAAGCCAATGCACCGGGACGATACTGGCGGAAGTCTCTTGACAATTGCCTTCCACGTTGCTGCTGGAACTTCAACTCAAGAACATGTGTTTGCTCATCAACATGCCAATCTTATGTACTGTGTTCTTGCATCAACTGTTGTTTCAGTTGAGGAGAGATTACAATCTACCTAATTGCGAAATCTTAAATCGGTGAGGTATTCAAGTTCTGTAGGTTTAAATTTACCAACATTATTTTAAGTTGAGGTGCTAGGAATTCGAAGAAATTTCAATTGCTTCGCCCAATATATGGTGGAACTGATATTTAATTTTTCTACTTTTATGATTTAGGATTAATTTTCTTCAACGCTATGCTTTACATTCCTTTTTGTTCTATGTTCAACATATGTATACTTCATTGTTTATCTCAAAGTGAAGTACCTAAAAAAATAATGGGAAAAAAGCCACATAATAAGAAAAGGAAATTATTTCTGCACTTTTTTTCCCTCCTTTTGTATACCTTTGTTTATTTTTGTTCCTTAATTCTCTTTTACATTATTCAGTTAATCAGCCAAACAGAAATAAGAGTGAGGAACAGAGAAAAAGAATGTAACTCACTTCCCATAAAAAAATAAGGGAAGGAGCAAGACTATACAATATGTATAAGGTATATTGTAAATTGCATTTATTATATTTCTCCATAGAGATTACAATATGAATCAAACAACTATATGTTGTCAAGTGCAGACGCACACATGCGCATGCAGAAAGAGAAGGAGAGGGGGGGAAGGGTTGGGGGGGTTGGGGGGGGGGGGGGGTGGGTGCGGTGGGGAGAGTTAATTATATGGTTGCAGTATTGAGCTTTCCCAATGGTATTGACATTATAGATAGAAGCTCGCTAAATGTATGTAAAGCCCTCTCGAATTGTTAGTCTTCGTTGATGAGTTTAGGTCTTCGTATATCTTTTACCATGTATAGGCTGCTATGTCTGTGACCCTCATTCTTTGTTAAAGGTATGTAGGTTTTAGTTTTATGTGCCTTGGATTCGCTTGATTGGAAGTGGAAGTATATATTTATTTGCCATAAACTCGATCGACCAAAACTTTTGGCAACAAAAATGTGGGGATTTCTCTTGTTGGAATATTTATTGATTGGGAGAAATCCCATTAGGGGAGTAATGTCGTCACCTAATCACTTATGAATTGCTCCAAAATTCAATTGAAACTTGATATATTAACTGAGTATCTGTGGCGCCCCCAAGGTTTAGTGAATTTGAGTAATATGGGCAAAGGGAGTTTTCTATTCTTTTTGGACTTAAAAAAATTTTAGGAAGTATAGATGCGTAAGTATTCATAATAGGTTATGATGGGTAGCCACTTAATACTACGGTTTAGTGGTATTCGTTTTTATTTGTAAGTGAAAGGTTACATTCTCGCTAAAGGCGAAATTGAACCACATTATTATGGCTAGCTCAGTGTGAGATCATGCCTTACTGAGAATATTTTGGAATACCATACTTTATCGAACTTATGTTCTTTGTAGTATATATGATGGATGACTATATACTATTTATGAACCTGTTTTTACATTTCTTTATAGTATATATGATGGATGACTATATGCTATGAAGATGTTTTTGAGATATATGTACTTATGTTGGAAAGATTATATTCAATGTTTTTGTGCGTATCTAGTGGTCAATGTTTTGCCTATGAGGGAGATATTTATTTTGACTTTGGCCGGACGTAGATTGGTGGCTTCGGCCGCGAGATACTGATACATGATACCACTATTTAGCACATTATACGATATATGTTTCATGAAAGGTTTTATGGCATGATAAGGTTTTCGGAAAACCTATTACATATTATGCTATGAATTTTCATAAAACTTTGGGGGTTAGTACGTTGAATAACTATTGTTTGTTTTGCGCCCCCTTAGGACATAGGAACGAGGTATACAACCTGAGCTACGAGGCATTCCCCTACCAATGACATCATGTCATTCTCTCTACTTTGACATTATTGAAATAGCACATTCCGCTTGTATTCTAAATTAGATGTATACTCTGAACATGTCATACATTATCATTATGTTTTCATTCTTGGCAGTTGAATATTATTATATTTTTTTAGTAGTTTGTATTTACTTATTACATTGCATAGTTTTGTGCGAAATTTATATGCATGTTTCACATGTTCTCGACATATGCATTCATTAAATGGCTTTCATCACCCTTGGGTGTCGGCCAGCACTTGACCATTCCGATGTCCCTCAAACATTAGAATCGGGGCATGTCACATATTTTTAGACCACATGATTATAGCAGTTAATGGTTGAACTACTTCTTTAAATCATTAAAGAAGAAATCCAATAATCAACCGTCACATTATATGGCCTCCAAAATGTGGTCTAAAAACATGGTATTCATAGCATTTTTCATTGACTTGATATTGGAAGGTTAGTTTCTCTTAATCCTCTATAATTTTTGATTAATTACTCTCTATATTGACTTGATAAGGGAAGATCAACTTCAACATAGAAAAAAAACATTTAAAGCCTCAAAAAATTTAATTAGCTCACAACTCCAAGTAGGTATCATACTCTATTGTAAATACTATATATATATATATATATATATTTGACATTTATGTGAGGCCCCTCCTCACCTAAAATCCTGGCTCCACCACTGTATGAGGTAGCAACACCTAGCCATTTTGCACCAAAACGGAAGTGGCAGAAGAACTAGGGAAAAAGGGGAAGGAGGACCAAACCACAATTAGAGATTCCTTAAGGAACTCTAGAAGGGAGTCATCTACCTTCAAGAAGGGGGGCATGAGCCATTAACAAAGATCCATGAACTCAGCCCAGGAGGAGAGGGTGAGAATGTTAGAGTAGGTACTGCACCAAGTTGGGGAAATCTCTCCCCAAGTGTAAACACTCTTGAAACCCCAAGAACATCTTCCCCTGCAACCTTAGTATTTTCCATAGCTTTTCCTCTGAGCATTCGAGCCATTAGAAGCCTTGTTTCGTTACCACCCTTTGAAACCCAGATCATCCAACCAAGAATATCATGCAACCATGAAAACTCTCTCTCATGTTAAACCGATAAACTTCTAGCTTCCACACCATGCATTACTTGAGTAAGCCATTATCATGCTATCCTTGAGCAACCCGGATATTTCTTAAGACGTGTTAATTCTTTCAAGATATTCCAGAACTTGGTACGAAATCGAACCAAGGGAGACAAGAGGATGTTCTTAAAACCCAAGTCCATCTCGACCTAAAAGTCCCCCAACAAAGATTGATTGAAATTCATTTTTTTTAGTTGAAAAGGTTAATTGAAAATTAAGCCACCTATACTTGCGGAAGTACATGAGTTGAAGAAAAACTTGGACCGACGTACATATGTTGTGAAGTTCATAGTACAAAATGAAAATTAATATATTTTATATAAACAATTGATCAACAAGAACTCTTATGTTATTCTATAGAGTTAGTTGAGTTGGTAAAGATTGTTCACTTCCCTAAACTAAGGTCTAAGTTCTAGTTCTGCAACCAATAATCTCTTTTAATGGGCGATCTATAAAAAAATAAAATAAAATTTAAAAAAAAAAAGGCTAAGACCCGAGTCCTTAAAAGAGGCTTGTGATATTGTTGACCCTAAAAACTACCTAGCCTACGTGGCGTGCAAACCGAGTAATTAATAAGCTAACTATGTCATTCGGTTGAATGCGGGGCATGCCAACTCGTTGGCCGAGTTCGGCTAGGGAGTAAAATATATTGATGTGGCATTAGGCGCGCTATTGACTTCTACGTCTTGTCATTGCGGTTGAGGAAGGAACTCTTCTCGGCCTTTGGGTTCTAGAGCCTGAAGACAAGGCTGTTAGTTTCTTCGAAGTTCACGAATCGTCGACACGGGGTTTGGTCTCAGTAATTTTATTTGTGCAAATATAAATACGCCGAACTGGTACCAGATTGTATGGACACAAATACTCAAAAGAGATAAGTGTCTTGATTGTAAATGTGGTTTGACCGTCTGAATGCCGAACTCTAAAATGTACTTGCGAATATCCAGTAATTAAATAAACTCGAGTTTCAATGTGTCGAGCCTTGTAACACCTCACTTCACCAATAAAGCAGATGAGATGACCTCTTCCAACAAGGACTAGGAAATCCCTATTGACCAAGACTTGGATAGATAACCAGTGGGTCTCGAAGCAGTGTTGTGTATCCAAACTGAAGGTGCTCATCAATCGGCTGATTCAACAACTCTAATGTTGTTTATTCAAACTAAAGATGTTGGTTGTCTCCACAATACTGTTTATCCAAACTGAAGATTTGATGGCGGGGAAAAAGAAAATAAAAATCTTAAGATGTTTGAGATGTTTGCTAAAGGCTGTTGTGTATTGAATTGTAGAGAACTTTGAATGATGCACTCTCCTCTCTATTTATAGTAGTAATTTCTTTAATGGCCAAGGTAATATTTCACTCAGACTAGAATTCCTCAACCCAATCTGATTAGATTTCGACTGATCCTAACCTCCATAGGATTCTGAACCAAGCTCTTTAATCATTTAGATTCAATCCCTTGATTCTCGGCATCTCTTCTTATTCGAAGCATCCTAAACTTCTGAAGAATCCTTACTGCATTAGGATTCAACCACTTTATCTTTATCCCATCAAAACCATCTTCTGATAGGATTTGGCCGAACTCTACTGGGCTCGGCCCATGGCAAAGAATGTTCCTAATATTCCTTATTGGACAAAGAACAATTCTAAGCTCGGCCAAAATGTTATTTTGGGCCCAAACAGATATGCACTGAGCTAGGATGGGCTAAGACCCAAGTCCTCATTATTTAAGTTAAAGCACACATGAAAGAAACAAAAACTGCTGCAGGAGGACGATACTGCCCTTATATATTTATAATCCGGGATACAAAGCTCATGAAGCATACACCCACCAATCAACTTGGAATATGCTCTCAATGGTCCACATTGACATTTATACCCAGCTTATTATTGAATATTTCTCCCTCCAACCTCATTAAAATAAAAATAATGAAAAAACAAAAGAAAACAAAAAACCTGTCTAGTTCTTCAGGTGGAAATGTTGTCTCGATCATTATTGGTATGTACAATTACACTCTTGGTTCATACGACCAAAATTCAGTAACGATGGATCGTCACCGCTCCACCGCCTCTGCCTCTGCCTCTGCCTCCTCCCTTTCCCGTCGTTTATGTTGCATGCAGGTAAATTTCCTCGAGCCCGAGCTTCTCACTGCTTTACCTGAACAAAAAGGTATGTTGTTTAGGGTGAAGGACCAGATATTTGTGTTTGGTATCATAATGGGGAAACCAAAGCATATTCCAACATCATGCGGTCGGTGTCAAATTAGACGCCTAATAGCGTTCTTGACATTAATTAATGGAATAAATGATGAAATAAACTTATAAATTCATAGTAAAGTTAGGTAGGCTTTGATGGTCCAACCACGGCATGACAGAGGCCACCTAACACTACCAAAATCAACATCCTAATTAGTGGCAACGGAACAAGATCCTCGCCGGTATATACATCTACCCCGAATTGAGCCTCCACCTAAATCTTCAATAAGGTAGGTTAAGGAAAGTAGAGGTCTAACGGAAAAAGAAAATACCTAGTTTGAGGTACCGATGCCATCACTATCGTAAGCATCGTGGTACAACTCACAACCAGCAACAAAAACCCCCAGATTTCTTGTTGGCACATTTAACGTACAAACAAAAGCCATGCGAAGAATGCAAACAAATAATTTGTCTACATCCTCGCCGGTATATTAACGGTTGGCACACGTCCTAACAACTTAAAGTTGTGGAAATAATGGTAAACAAACAAAAATCATACGACGTTAAAACAAGGGATTCCGACATTCAGGGTTCAAATCCCTTTAATTTGAACCTCCTAACCAAATTTTAGGTCCACATTTGCATCTTTTAACAAGAGCGGGACATATGACACATTAAAGGTAGAGGAAAAGTGTTCGGTTCATCGTGGCATCAAAATGGTATCCATGAAACTCTGACTGTCCTATTTTGTTGAATTCCTGATGTTGCGGGGTAAAGAAGCCCACATGTAAACGAGAATGCTAGAATATATGAACAATAATTGGTGCACATTCTAATAATTGATGTCCTGAAACTATGGCATACCAACAAAATCTATCACGAATGTCCCAGTTAACAGGTGTAATTAGCAAAAATATCGTAAGTAAATTATGAACAATCAACCTCAATGCATAAAGCGAACATGGGCATACCTGGGAATACAAGAAGGTTCCAAAAATTGCAATAGCAGCTCCAAGGGCATTGACGGGCTGGACAGGGGTGTGGAATATGATGATGGAGGATACTATGACGGATATACGTTTCATGGTGTTTCCTATGCTAAATGTCAAGGGAGAAATCTCATCCAGGGACATGTATGACACTTGGTTGTACAGATGATAGAAGACACTCTGAGCCGCCATCCACCTATTCGATATAATCAACAGCAACTCGTAAGTAAAGGCATTTATAAAAATAATTAGAACAAAAGGTATCACTGTATTAATTAAGAACAAACACAGACTTTGCTCCTACAGGTATTCAAGTTCCAACCAGCATTTACAACACATGGTCTCTGCAACAATACATTGCCAAAAGTTTCTTGCTTCATACACGAAATAAAAACTATGAATTGCATAAAATAATGAGTAACCAGCAACTTACAGTCATGACTGTAAATGCAGCAGCATTTCAATAATTAACACATATTTAGTACTGGTTATAGTCCTCCGAGAAAAAGAATAGAAAAGTGATCACGGCAACTTATTATAACTATCAGCTAAACATGCCAAAGAAAGCTCAAGAGCTACTACTTTGTTTGCATGTATAAAGACTTCATGAACAGTAAGAACGAGATCATCTGATTAGATATACTTCTAGCACACTTACATTCCAATTAACAGCAATGTGCAAATATCAAACCACACAATAAACGTATCATAGACAGTAACAGGCCAAGAAATCACAGTTAGATGACATGTGATTACCAAATCAAGTTGGGTCCAATTTGAGTGAAAGCTGTATCAAATCCAGCTTTCCACATCTGTGGTCCTTCCACCGCAATTGCAAATGGTATGAGAATTAGGAGAGACATAATAGATAAAAGAGCATAATAGTTCATTCCGCTAACAGACTTCCCCTTCATGCCCTTCTTCGAAAATATGTTCCGAAATACAAAGGCCAGGTTTGATATCATGGCCCCCATGAATCCTGAAACAAACAGTAAAAGGACCAAATTTAAGACTCTAGAACCTTAAAGAAAAGAAAAAAATTACACTTTATACAATATAATGGCAGAGTAATTAATCACACTAAACCCCTGCAACTGGTCAGAAACTCATCCTGGTTTTTGGAAAACACTGGAAGGAGAAAGAAGCTGGCTATGACAACCAACTCCAGATAGAAGAAAATAAACTGAAACATTTTTCTTTTGGTCAGATAGAGTAATTGAAACATATAGCATGAAGAATGGAAAATTAATTTGGTTGCAGAAGAATACGAAGGCAAAGTATGTATCTTACGTGCTTTAATCTTAACTGAGGCAGCATTAGAGCCTAACTTAGCCTTATTGCACAAAACTCCCCAACAATAAAGATTTTAATTTTACCATATATTTGCTTTCTTTTCCAACGGCGACTAACAAGGATTGCAAATACTAACAAGGATTGCAAATACCAACTCAGGAGATAATAAGATCAACAAACCAATAATTTTACAATTCCATTCCCTCTGGGACAAGAACAAAATGGTTACCTATCATGTTAAAGTTAAGCTCCGTCAAGGCAGCAAGACCGCAACCACCGATGATTGGAAGGAGGGACAGGTAGACTGACATAGGGAAGGACTCGCCCAGCAAGAACCTCGAAACCAATACACTGAAAGCTGGCTCTCCACTCTTGATGATATGGGTGAAAGAAACTGCAACCTTAGACATACTAACAGTAGCTGCTACATGCCCAATTGTATGTGCCACAGCAACCTGTTCAATGAAAATCAAACAATAAAATCACAACCCATAATTGAAAACTGAAAGAGAATTTTCAAGCAAAATGACAACAAACCACCAAAGCCTCTAAGTCATTGTTTGGCTGGAAAGAAAAAATTCAATCTCTATAACTTTCTCAACATTTGAGACCTCTCAAACTTCACCTTCTTTACTTTATCTTAATTTTCTCAGCAACCAAACAAAATGGTTATCTTCACACAATAAAGACACCCGACAATCCTAAATGGCTCCCGATATGAATTTTCAAGACCATTGAACATAACAAGTTAAAAACTTCACTTTCCATTATTCTCCTCCATTTCCCGGAAACCCCAAAAGCATGTATACATATATATGTATAAGGAAAACAACAACAACAAAAAATAAAAAACCCAATCCAACTCACAGGAAACAGAGCTTTCCAGAACTCCATATCAACTTTGGGGGCCTCAGCAATCCTGGTTACCCAGGAGACTAGCATGATCAAAGACCCACATGCCAGAGACAGAGTGGAGGTGAGCCATGGGAAGGGGTAAGCATTCAACACCTTCTTATTGTATATATTGAACACCACGTTCAGCGCCCACCACATAGCAAAATATACGCCGATCTTCAGCTTCTTTGCCGCCTCCACTTTAGCATCGACATTCGCAAGGTCGACGTTGGACTCGATCGGCTGTGATCGGTCGGCCTCGAACGCCTGACATTTGTTCACACTTGTTCGAGTCGGCGTTGGCAACCCACCAAGACTCCTGATCGCAGACACGTGCAATGCCTTTTGGACCGAGATTACTGATCTCTGAGTCTTTTGCCCCTGGAGAGACGGAAAAAGCAGTGACCGTTGCACCGGCGTCGGCCGTGTGCTGCGCCGCAGAAAGATGTCGGACCCGTTTGTCACGGCGGAGTATTGCTTCACAGAGCAGATCATGGTGAAATTCAAGTGGGTTTCTATGGAAGGCGCAGAGAACAAAAAAACAGAAGAGATCAAATCACATCAAATCAATGGGGTGATGGAGCAAAAAACAAAGAACAAAAAGGACAGAATTTATGAGTTTTGTTTACCTGAAAAGGTTGAATAAGTTAAACCCAGAGCGGCAGATCTTCAATATATAGTAAAGATCGAAGCTTTTCCAATAAAAAAACAACTATGAAAAGCAAAGGAACTATTTTTCTGTATGATCGGAGAAGTTGGAGTAGCTCTCAGAAAAATAGGAGATTTTGTTTTATAAAACGTTTGAATTGAAATTGTTAAGGGTTGGGTTTGGCTTTGAGATCTCAGTCGGGAGAGAACAATGATAAGTTGCTCATTTATACCAAATAGTCATGTGAGTCTCCGCATATTTTTGCATTAAAGTATTCCATCAACTTTCTCTACTATAAACTATACGTTTCTGTTTCTTTTTTTGGTCAAGAGTACGTTTCTGTTCCTATAAGGTGCTTTTCTAGGTGGGGATATGCTGTGTTCGGTGTAGTGTGAAGGATGATACCAATCATGATGATGATTCTCTATTCTCTTAATCTTTTTTTTTTTTTTTTTCTTCTATTTGAATAGTTAAGTTACGTCAATATATTGATATTTTTATAGACAATAAGACAAAAATAATGTGTGAAAAAAGGGAAGGAAAGAAGATGAGAATAAAGGCTGGTTTGGTATTGCTGTGCTTTGAAAAAAAGCTGCTTCTGCTGTGCTGTGAGAATAAGCAGCTGTGAAATAAAGCAGCAGAGTGTTTGGTAAACTTTTTTGTAAAAGTGCTTTTGAAAAAAAAAAACAGTATTAGAGTGTTTGGTAAACTTTTATGTAAAACAAATGTGAAAAAAAGCCGGTTTTTCAAAGCTAGATTTTGCAACTTCTTGTTTTTGGCTTTTTTTCATCCAAAACTGTGAAAAAAAGCTGAAGCTGAGTGTTTGCCAAACACAAAAACAGCTCCCATCTTTTTTTGATAGCAGCTTTTTTCATAATCACCTCAATACCAAACCAGGTCTAAAAAGGGTGAGAATCCTCTTCCAATTATGTCTTGCCTTGTCAATATGTAGGTATGCTAGTGTAGTTGAGGAAAATGGATTTGGATCCCCTCCGGATCCCCTCCCTGGGCATCCCAGGGATCAAGACACAAGGACCGTTCATCAAAGATCGTACGGCCATAATTAAATGTTTTTTACGCAAAACGAGATTGCTTTACTTTTAAAAATATAAAAAATATTTAATTATGATCGCACGATCTTTGATGAACGGTCCTTGTGCCTTGATCCTCGGGATCCCCAGGGAGGGGATCCGGAGAGGATCCAAATTCGAGAAAAATAGCTCAAAGAAGCATCTTCAGATCATCATTAAAAGGAATGTCAAATTTTAATAGTCAAATTGTAATTGATGACTGATATAGCAATATGAAGTCTTATATCAAATTTTGTACTTCTCCATTGTTTAAAAATTTAATAGTCAAATTGCAATTGATGACTGATATAGCAATCTGAAGTCTTATATCAAATTTTGTACTTCTCCATCCGAATTGTCAAATGTTATTTTCTTATTTAAATAGAGCTTTAAATAGTTGTAATTATTAAAAAAAAGGGTAAATTGTTGAAACAAAATTTCTATTGGTTAAAATGTTAGTAAAATAAGGGACACATCATTAAAATCAATTAAAAATATATTTGACGTTGATATCAAATTTAGCTCCTAATCACAAAGCTTTCAAATCCAGTCAGCAAATAACACTTCAGTTTGTAGACTTTTGATGACAAATATATACAATGACATTTCACCTAAGATTTTGACATCTTATTTGGAAATGCTCTCATAAGCCATAACTTACAAGAACATCAATGATCATAATGTGAAGTATTTATTTAATAACACAGTGTCATGTATTGATAAAAAAAATAAAATACAATGCCATGTATTAAAAAATTTACCCATATCATTAATTTATTAAAATAAGATGTCACGGTAGCGGTGCCTATTTCATAAAAGTCCTCTTTCGAATGCGGATCTTTAGCTAATTTAAATAAAAGTGCACAAATTGGCAGGAGACTCTCTATCCGTTCTCTATTTTAGTTTTGGGAACAATTGTTCTTTTGACTTCAAAGAGAAGGAGAGAGAATTTAAAATGCTAGTTAAACATAAAAAGTTACTATGGAGACCTGAAAATGATGAGAAAGGTTATATTAAAATATTTAGAGTTTGTTAAAATACATAGTATTGTTAGAGATGTTAAGTTAAATTGTCAAGCGAAAATAATTTTTTGACACTATTCATTAGCTAAACTAACAAGATTTTAAACAATTGTTCTTTAACTTCAATACACTGCACTTCGAGTTCAAATCTTCTCCCTCTTATTAGTATAAATTAGTGTAAAATATCACTTGTAATAAAAAACATAAAACTACCCAAACTTTATGGAATTTTTAAGTTTTCCACGAAATTGTCAACATATTCAAAGTCATACACGAACTCCTTATAACAATGCCATGGTGGTAGATATTCAATGAGTGAGTTTAACTTAATAAAGATATATTAGATAGGATTCAAAAAATCAACTTCAATCACGCTCTTTATCCACTTTTTTAAATAGAGATTATTCTACGTACTCTTAAATCTAGAGAGAGGAACTCTTAGTGGGTTTCTATAATTAATGCTCATTTTATCAACATTATTTAAAATGAGTGTTCTGAAAAAAAGAAGCATAGCTACTATGCGGATGGCCACGTCACAATTAATTTTAAGCCTTTTGAAAATCAAGTGGGTCGTATAGGTTGGCTAAGTGACTATTTTTTGTTTTTCTCAAATGTCTTAGGGTCACAACCCTCTCACTCAAACTGAAAAAGAAAACTCATATACTCTCTCTATACGATTGCTTGCGTCCTTCTCAACCATAGTCAATTTGATATCCATAGTTCAATAAATTATAGTACCTTATAATTAATTTTCTTCCATTCCATTTTATGTTTATTAATACAAGTTTAGGTTTTTTTTTTCTTCAAAAATAAGTAGGCACTTATTATATTTTCTATAATATATTTATTTAAAATAAAAAAAAAACCCATTAGGCCCTTAGAGCATCTTAAGGCTACCTTCAACCGAAATGACTAAATTTATATAGTCTCGACCATACTTATATATTATCTCCAACTGAATGAGCTAAATATAGCCGCTCAACAATTTATTAGTTTTAAGTTTATACTTTAAAATTTATTTGTTATTTTAGTTAAAATACCTTGGATATTTTCAAATCTAGCCCTTGAATTTGAATCAATCATTGCAACTAAGGAGCTAGGCCCCAAAAACATGGCTAAGATGAGAGCTACAATTGGTCAGCCTGGTGCTCCTTTGGCCAAATAATAGCATGTGGACCCCTTACAATTATAGCCCAGCTATCGGTTGAAAATTGATTTTTAACCAAATCACGTCATTTTTTAACTTTTGAACCTTTGACCCTCTCCATTGGAGATAGCCTGAGTAGAATGCCACGTAATAACCGATATGTCAATCTGTACATTGATATAGAAATTGTTTGCTGCTAATTTACATAGGAAAAAAAAAAAATCTGGTGTCTTAATATTTTTTAAATGTTTTGTTGTGTTGGCCCTAATAATGCACCAATCATGAAGATTGATTTGTTTTTAAGAGTGGGTCTTGCAGATATTAATTGAATATAAAAAAAAATATACAAGGGTTGAAGCAAAATGAAATTTGAAATTGCCATATAAGTCTTCAAATTTACATTTGACAATTTTCAGGTGTCATAATTGACATGAGAAATGTCAAATACGCCAAACAAGATTAAAAGACATCAAGGTTTTCTCCAACACAGATGTCATAATTGGCATGGGAGCTGAGTCATTTGACTTCTTACTTTTTAACTGTCATTTTTGCAATAAACGAAGATGGAGTCAAATGTCTTTAATTTATTTTTAATGCATGGATCTCATAAACGACCAATAGGATAAAAACTAAAATCAATTTTAATTATTTTTTAATAGTTAATGTAGAGATGAGGCCCAATATATTAATAAAATAAATATTTGACATCTATAGAAATTAAGAAGATTTTACATCTATATTCAATTGGCCACATCTATCTTCAAATAAAAAATTTAACATCTCTTTTAAAGATGTTCTTAAGCACTAGATCTCAACTCATCACCCAACTACTTACAATCCATTTTTAGAACATAATTGTAAACAAATAATAGTTCTTATTAACAATTATCCTTTTAATATGTTGGTACTGTCGTCGTTTTAAGTAAACTAGTGGAACCGATTAGCAATGAAGAAAAAGGACAGGTCTACTGGTGAAAAATTATCCAATATTAGACTAGTGAAAGACAGTTGAAAAATGAGAGATGAGAGAGAGAGAAGAATGTGATCAGTCAATCTTTGTTTTGACCACTATATCATTTGAAAGATTGTCCAAATGCACAACATGGTTCAGAAAGGCAGAGGGGCCCCATCAGTGGAAATCAAATTGAATGAAACATAAAAAAATGGGTCGGATTCTCTCCCCTCTTTTTTTTTTCCTCTCATTTTTTTCTTTCCTATTTGAACGGTCACGATTAAGTTACGTTAACATCTTATATCAATTTTTTTTTTATAAAAAGAGACAAAATGGTAAGTGTTAAAAGAGAGGAGGGAAATAGAAGGGGAGAGAAAAGAAAGGTATACAAGGGGAGGGAATTCTACTCCCAAAAGAACATGCAGAAAAGGAAGAAACCCAGAATGGTATGTTAAGAAATAAGGGGGACAACATTAAGATTTACATTAAAAAGTATTACACAATATCAATGAGAAACTTATATAAATTCAATGCAAAATATTCAATGCTTTCAATTCTGGATAGATATTCGGGATTTTAAAGGGAATAACATAAGTGGTAAGTAAATTGTAAAAGTAGGTCAACTCTTATCTTGCATGCATGCACCTTCTATTTGAATTTTGGCTTCTTTTTTTGGCTGAGACAGTATTCAATGAAAAACTGACGTACAGCATTCAATAAAAAATCCTACCCAATTTGGCCGAGATAGCGTTTAAAAGTTTTTACCAAAAAAGAAAAATGACAACGTAGTGTTTACACGATATGTCTAATATGCATGTACCGTGGTCAAGTCCTGCATTATTATAAAAGCACCTATAACCCAATTTGGTCAAGTAATTCATAGTCTCACTCTCCAAAACCAAAAATGGCTGGAGTCCAAGCTTTTGTTTCAACAATTCTCTTTCTTTCCCTCATCACATTCTCCACATTCCATCCAACGCATTCAAAACCTAATGGTTTCAGCCTCCGGTTGATCCCTAGAGACTCACCGGAA